CATGTAATCTTAATTATGAAATATGTTGCTCTGTTTAATTAAAACATTGAGTTCTATGTGTGAATAACTTTTAATATTTTAGATTGTATTAATAAGATTCACTTGGATTATATACCAACTGATTATTTCTCATTATATATATATATATATATATATATAATATATATATATATATATATATATAAATATATATAAATACATGCACATATACTTATTCGCACTCATATACCCATTCTCTCTTTCATGCATATGCACACATTTATTGTATGTTTAGTTAGCTTAAGCTGACACAAGCTCAAATATGTGGGAGAGAGATCAAGCATTCATGTAGCCAACTTTTTTGAGGAGAAAATCAGCATTCAAAATTCTATCTTCAGTACCTGGGCTTGAACCTGAGCAGTAGTAGTAAATGGTTCAGCTATGGGATGTGGCCTAACTGCTTTGGGTGTATGTGTGTGTGTGTGCTTTCTCTTGTCCTTCATCTGCGTTTGACCTGCTGGAAGTTCATTCCACCCAATGAACATAGAAGGAAGCAATAGAAATAAATTTAGACTGCTTATTCGTCTCCATGTTGTGTTTACAAAAAAGAAAGAAAAGAGAAATGCTTAAATATTCAGGCAGGAAATGTGCAAAATATTATCTGGGATATTTGAAGATCCTCAAAACTTTAAGGAGCAAGGATGGAAGTTGTTGTAGGTTAAATCCTGGTTTTCAGAAATAATTTGTAATGATTTAAGAGTCTCCATAAAGAGAAAACCTGATGAATTGCAAGGTCAGCCTTGAAAGTTGGTTGGAAACATCGTAATGAAGCAGCCACCTGAACAAAAATTGGTTAAAAAGCTGGCTTTCATCTAATTTACTCGGGAGCTCTTAATATTGGTGTGAGGTTGTTTTTTTGTTTCTGTATGTATATGTGAGCCTGTGTGTCAGATGTGGTTAAAACACACACACACACACACACACACATATATATATATATATATATATATATATATATATATCTCAATTGATGATTAGTTGGGATAATTCCAAGGAGGATATAAATCAAAGAAAGCTCAATGTAAGAGCAGAGCAATATAATAATGAATGCAGAATCCTTAAAAATTCATCAGGTCAGGTAATAAATTTAATACCTGACCTGATGGATTTTTAAAGGTTTTGTATTGATTATTATATGTATGCATGTATGCATATGTATGTATGTATGTATATGCATATATGTATGTATGTATATATTATATGTATGTATGTATGTATATATATATATGTATGTATGTATGTATGCATATATATATATGTATGTATATGCATATATGTATGTATGTATGTATATGCATATATGTATGTATGTATGTATATGCATATATGTATGTATGTATGTATATGCATATATGTATGTATGTATGTATATGTATATGTATGTATGTATATATGTATGTATATGTATGTGTATGTATGTATGTATATATATGTATGTATGTGCATATATGTATGTATGTATATGCATATATGTATGTATATGCATATATGTATGTATATATGCATATATGTATGTATGTATATGCATATATGTATGTATATATATATATGTATGTATGTATATGCATATATATATGTATATGCATATATGTATGTATGTATGTATATGCATATATGTATGTATGTATATGCATATATGTATGTATGTATATGCATATATGTATGTATGTATATGCATATATGTATGTATGTATATGCATATATGTATGTATGTATATGCATATATATATGTATGTATGTATATGCACATATGTATGTATATGTATGTATATGCATATATGTATGTATATATATATATGTATATATATGTATGTATATATGTATATATATATGTATATGTATATGTATATATATATATATGCATATATATGTATATGTATGTATGTATATATGTATGTATGTATGTATATGCATATATATATATGTGTGTGTGTGTATATATATATATATATATATATATATATGTATGTGTGTGTGTACATAACCTAGGAAAAGGGTTACTGAATAAGAATAACCAAAATGAAGGTTGGAAATGGAACGATAATATTTTAATATTTATACCAGGAACAACATACAAGATTTGCCAGCAGTGTGTAGTAAGTAATCAACTGTTAGTGGTGACTCCCACAATGAATCCAAATGACTACCACATACAGTATATACTACTGTATTTATACAGATTGGAACATACCCATTATAGTACATAGGTATGGTTTAACAATATATATAAATAAATAAATAAATGGATTTCATTTTTTAATCTGAAATATTTTTAATTACTTTAAATATTATTTTCTTATTGAATCAGAAAGATGATAAAGAATTAAACAATAAATTAAATATTAAGTGAAATTAATTGCATATTTCTAAATATTCAATGTGACAATGAAATCAAAAAGTGAGTAAATTTTTTTGAGACATGAGTACATTTTTTCTATATCAGTTTATGTGTCTCTATATCTAATTAAATAACATTAGTAAAATAAAATTATACAGTGTGCAGCAGAAATACCTCCCACATAATGGGAAGACAGGGATTTCTGAAAGGTAATTATGAAAAGTGTTAGGGAGGAAGGATTAAAGGAAATGAGTTTCCAAAATTTTTATTAATGAAAAAAGACTTAAAGGCACTTTCTCTGTTTTTTATATTTTTTATTATATTATATCTTCCTGCTGTCGCTTCAAACTATTACCTTCTTTTTTCCATATATTTTGGCCATTCTGCTTAAAGTTCATATTTTTTTTGACTTCAGATAGAAACATGGAAATTTTCCAACACATTTCACTGAAAATTTCTACAATTATAGCTTATAATTATAGTTTAGATACAAGAAAAGACAAAAGCATTAATTTTTTTTTTTTTTTTGAAGCTGACATTTTTTCCCAAATATAGGGACCATTTTGCACAAAGTAGGTTGATTTCAGATGAAAACTCAAGATATTTTCCAACATAATTTAGTAAAATTTTCACTTTCAAAAATTGCAGTTTTGATAAAGGGGTAAAGAAGGTGACATTTTTTTCCCATATATTCTGACCATTTTACTTGATTTCAGATGAAAACCTGGAAATTTACCAACACATTTAATGAAATTTTTACTTTGCCAAATTATAGTTAAAATATATTGGGGATAAAAGAAGGTGTCAGCTTAAACTGATGCCAGCAGGATATGTATTAAATAAGGATACAACTTTAAATTTCTACTGCCATCCCATAATAATTACATTTGCACATTATTTTTTTAGATTATTATCACTGTATATAAAAGTTTAGATTTTATACAAATGCCAAGATGCCAAATTTATATTATAAAGGAAGTACTGATTATTGTCTGTCTGTCATGCACTGGATAACCTCTACCCTGGGCTGAGCAATAAAATCAAAGTCGGCAACCAAAAAAACATTAATTTGTTTTGAACCCTAAAAAATGCAGATAGTTATGAAATCTTATTCAACTTTTTGGAAATTATTCAATAATAGATTTTTTTTTTTATTTTGTAGAAATATTTTTAGGTCTGTCATTGTATTAAAATATACATGTGCACATGCAATTTAAATGAAATTGAAATGGATGTCTATGTTGCAAGGGCTAATTTCTCTATCTGGGTAACAAGAAAAATATAAGTTGGCTCCTTGAAGTCCTTTTTATGATTTCTGTGTTTTAACTGGATATACTTTTTAACAAATGTATTTTAAATGGACAAAACAATTTAGATATGAAAATTGACTGTTTTACCAACTGCAAAGTGATTGCACAAAAATAGTGTTTCTGAAAATGAATGATTCCAAACACTAAATTAATGAACTATTTAATTTACATTGCATTTCTCATTTTATATTGTTTTTAACAACACTTTCAAAACGAATTTCATAGACTATTTGTACCAACTATTAGTAATTCAGGTAAGAGATAGTTAAAAAAAAAAATTACTGCATCTATCCCATAATAGTTGTTAGATTTACATAGACATTTCTCATGTGAAATTTAGCAACAGAAAAGATGCTTATATATTATTATATATGAAAGAGACAGTTGATGTTTCAAGGACACATGATGAGGAAAGAGAGCATGGAGAATTTGACACTGACAAAATGTATAGATGGTAAGAGGGAAATGGAAATCATACCTAATGAGCTCATGTAAATGGATGGTAGAACGGGGTGTGGAAGGGATGATGACAAACCTTCTTTTATGTGCCATATCCCTTCAGGACGTAGGCAATTATGGAACTCCACCTCTTTTTTTGTCCCTTGTAGCTAATAAGTTTTGTCATTTTTTTTATTTCTCCTATTCCTCTTCTACCATCCATTTACTAAAGCCCATCAAGTATGTTATGCACTGCTTTCTTCAGTTCTTCAATCTGTCCTGTAAGTATCACATTTTCTAAGCCTCCCTTCCTCATTTACCTGCCCCAGAAATTTCAACTGCCTCTTCCTGATGTTAAGTTTCCTTTTTGTTTCCATTTTCTCTAAAACATCATTGCTCATATTTTGTCTATGGTATCCTTTTAAAAGGATAGGAATACTTCAAAAGCTATGATTGCCCATATTGTGAATGGACATGACAGTCCTTGCATTACCATGCACATCTCATACACTATTATGTGAAGAAAATGTAAATATGATTCTTAACGTAGTTATAACACTCTTAGTTTATTTTTTATTATTCTTTCTGGCAAAGTAAATAAAATAGCTGCTTTCTTTTGTTTTGTTTTTTTCCAGAATGAATTGAAATTTGCTGCAGTGGAAGAGAAACCAATCCAGCACAATTCGCATGTTATCAGTATTTATGCTGGACGATACAGCATCAATTATAAGCCAAAGTTGACCATTGGCCAAGCATCATTTGACCTACCAGAAGGACTGACAAAGTTGGTTGACCCCAATTCAGACCTTGATGGTGATGATTCTGAATTGGGTGGACGCCAGAAATGTTACCAGGCACAGATGACAACTTTCCATAAGCGACCATTTTCTTTGGGGAGCATGGAAACCAATAAGGTGTGTCCTCACATCACAGTATTCTGTTGTTGTTTTAGGGGGGGGTTAGTGTTTATCATTTAATAAATTTCACATTATTGCACTACAATTATGTATGGAAACTACTAATTTCATCTCTACCACTTGTCTATGGACAATTCTGACTGAAAATATAAACCTTAAATGTAATCTTTAAGGATCAATGAAAAGTTGCTCTAATTTATGTTGATGATGTGTTTTATTAATTTTAATAGAAAGTTTGCAAATTTATTTTATACATTTGAAAAAGAAAAGAAAATCATGAAAACAAATATAGTCAAAGTAAAATATTGCATCTGGAACATAGTCTCAGAAATATTTCTTTCTGACATCAATTTTGTGGCTTGAAGAAACAAAAATCAGAATCTGTTATATTATTGCTTATCCCTTAGCGCTTATGTTATGTCCTACCAACAGCTCATAAATAATGGACTATTATGTTTTGATCTGGAGGGAATATAAAAAAGACATATCGAAGACGCTGTTTGATTTCAATAAGAAAAAGAAAGAAAATAGAAGAGATGATAATGCTTTCATGCATTTAACATCTGCTTCAGTGAAATTGAAGAACTTACCATTTTTTTTTATCTGTTTTTTTCGTATCAACTTCTTTAAATAATAACTTGTATTCATCCTTATGGTTGTTTTTGCAATATTTTGTTAACTTCATATATTTAACAATGCAGCAGAGGAATCTCCCAATATTGTTTGTGTATATGGGTTTACTTGAAAGAGTAGTTTTATTTTTTTTATTATACAGTGCACATCCAGCCTTACTTTCCCCCCCACTGTTTGTGGCCTTATTTTCAGATAGTAATAGATATTAAGTTCAGAGTGTAGTATCTGTGCAAACTGAGAAAAGTATTATACACACATGCCAAAGAAATATATATTGAATTTTTTTTTTTTTTAATTGACAACCTTTCAGTTCTTCCCAGCTTCCTTGCATTTCTAATAACTGTGAATTGGCAGGAATTCTTAAGGAATTTATTTAATCATTACCTTTTAGAATTATGATTCATCAGAAAATGAAAATAGCAAAACCATGAAAATTTCACAGACATTTCTAGTCTTTGTTAATCCTTACCAATATTTTGTTTGCATGTTTTTTGTCATGCATCAATGACTTTACTGTTTGTTGAGTATAACGTTTCATCTCTGTTTCATGTTTCATTGGAGAAAGTTGAACTTTGTTCTATTCTTTGCAGGTCCAGTCTCAAGTCACGTCTCTTAAGCTTTACAGATGTGATGGAAATGTGATCATTGTTGACCATCTACCAAAAGAAGATCTCATCACAATTGGAATTCCTCTTGAAGTCGACATGGTAACTACAAATATTCTTCCTCCTAAAATCCCAAAACAACTTTTTAAAAATATTTTACAAGAATAATTCCATTAATATTTTCAGTAAAATAAAAAAAAAAAAAGAAAGATTTTTACATACATTATTTTTCTAATACACTGGGTCAATACGCTTTTTATTATTACTATTATTTTATTACTAGTTTTATTCCATCTTATTATTGTTGCTTTTTATCCAAGGTGATTCTCAAACCAGTCCTAGTAACCATGCAACTGGTGGCAAACATGTGGAAACATAAATTACTACTTGATAAAAATTACTATTTTTAGCAAGGAACTTGTTCGCAATGTCCAGTAATTAGTTAATTACCAACTAGATATAATATTAGGAAGTATCTTATAATTATTGACTTATTTCCATGAATGCAATTTAAGTAAAAACTTTTTGTCCACCATTTAAACATTTTACCATGATGCCTAATACTGTTTTTACTAATGCCTCAAAATTTTTGGTCAAACCAAATAAGTTTCCTCCATGATATTGTACAGCAACCTTGGCATAAACTTTATCAACTGAAAGAATACACTTTTTCTGATTTTCAGCGATTTTACTAACATATATCACCAAGAAAATTAGTCATCTAATTTTGAAACTTCTGATGTCAAAGCTGGTAATGTTTTCACACATCCTGGCACCTTATATAATGACAAAGATGTAACAAAATATTCAAATGCCCTGATAAGCATATTAGAATCATTTTTTGCCCCAGTCCTTTGCGGTGAGATAACATTAATATGCTCTCTTAAAATTGATTTATTATCAATTTTTAAGTTACTAAGGTACTAAGATAACAAATTGCTTCATTGATTTGTGACCAGTGCTGAAACACTGATATTTAACTTTTTAAAAAAGAAAAAAAATTGTTGTATATATACCAACATGGTAAAATTCAAATCTCAAGTTTTCCAAAATTTTAATTAAAAACATTGTAATACTTCGAGTGAAAAAAAAAAAATAGTCGACAAATTGGATGAACAGGTGATTGATTGATTTATAGCATGTAACTGCTGGCACAAAATCCTGTTGATTAATATTCTGATATAAATAATAATCCAATTTTCAGAATTAAATGACCCACAAGGGTTGATGTGCTGGTAAAACAACCAAACTATGATTTTTTATCAAGACTCATTTTACAGTGTGATTAAGTTAGCTTATGAATTGACAAAAAAATGGCTGTTGAAAAATTAACCATGAAAATCCTTAGAAATTCAAAGGAAATGATATCAACTTTGTGGACACTGCAGATGTTTGCTTGGTGGTGGTCATTTGATGACACAAGGAGCATTTATTTGTAACTCCATTTTATTAAATAAAAGAAATGGATTGCACTTTCTAATGTTTAAAAATAAGTTATGATGCACTGTGTCGAATTTGACTTTATCTGTAAACACCTTTTATATGGTGAATAGACTTAAAGAAATTTTCAAAAACATTAATATAAAAAGCATTTTGACCTACTTGGGAGAAACTAACTTATACACCAAACTTTAACCCAAACAACTCCACCTATAGACAAACTATACAACCAGTTTTTAACTATACTTCACGAATTATAAAACTTAAAACTTCCTAAAATATTATCAAATAAAAATCCAATTTTCTGCATTAAATGACCCACAAGGGTTGATATGCTGGTAAAACAACCAAACCAAATCAACTGTGTCAATGCACTCTTCATTGTTACTATTTTTCAATTAGTAGTTTTTTATGCTGCTTACTAACTAGCATTAGTATATAATACCTAAACTATTTTTACTTTATAATACAATCCTACATTTTTAATGTGAAAATTAATGTTAAACTTTGTCAACTCTAAAAGGCATACATTTTTAAAATGTCCAAATTATTGACACACTTGTAAGTTTTGAATCGTGTCTGCAATAGAAACCAAATTTCACTAAAATTGTCAATGAAGAAGCCTCAAAATATCTTTCATTTAAAAGTCAATTTAATTTTCTAATACTAATATATTATGGTAATAGAAAGCAGTAAATTTTTTAATATTGTGTACATTCTGTGTGGGTTTGAATAGCTGTTAGTAAAATATAGATAATTTTCATATGGCTGGAACAAAATTGATAAACTTTGTAATGCAGTAAAGCCATCATGGTATTAAGACAGGAAACTGTAGTTAGAAAGAAAATAGTGCTTAATGACAATATAATATCTATGCTTTTATATGGCAGTGAATGTTGTATAATCTCCCCTTAGATGGAGAATAGACTTTTGATGCCAAGAAGATTTGGTTCATTTGACAAATACTGAGAATATCCTGGACAGAAATGTGAATAATGAAGTTTTAAGGAAATAGAACATGAGGAATTAGAAGCCATTGTTAAAGTGCAAGATAAATAACACAATCAGAATTAATAAAGTTTGCAATAAAAAGAAAAAATGTCAAAGATGAAAGAGCAACAATCATACAAGCAAGCAAACAATATAGTTAAAGGAAATCAAACCTGATAAGAAGCCAAAATTGTACGCAAAAGCAAAAGATCGACCAAGCAAACACAATATCTGTCTAGTAGTTAAGGCAGATCTGGACGTAGTCATGTAAAAACACAAGCCATCCCATTTTATTGGCTAAGAAAAATATCCCAGCATGCATTCTGTGTCCTTCTGACTCTAAGTGGGGGGTAACTTTTGCGATCATTCTTTCCCACATTGGGAAATCAACCAAACAAAATTGATACCTACTTAGGTTTGGAAAGAGATTTCTGGGACAAATAATGAGGAAAGGAGGACTGGAAATTTTAACACTCACAGGACATACTGATTACAAGAGAAGCATGGAGAGACAAGTAACCTACTGAGTTTGAGCGAATGAATAGCAGTACAGACAAAGATGGATGGTAAAGTTTCAAAGGTTTTTTTAGAAGTAACAAAAGACAGGCAGTTTTGGAGAGATTCAATCTTCATACTGAAAGGACATGGCATATAAAAAAAAAAAATAAGCTTTCTACTTATTATGTTAAAAAATAGTTTATCTAACTAACTAACCTGTAATTGGATGAATTCATGCAAGATCACTGATGGCCAAGACTAGTGGTTGCCAACACACCAGCAGTTGCCAATAGCATTTGGAATTTCTCCCTAGAGACACTCAACTCTAGTGATTTATATTGGCACCCTAGATGCCCACCATTTGTCAGATAACGAATTTGCATACACTGCTGATTTGTTAACAAGCTTGAGATGCTGCTTTGAATACACAGGGTATATAGGCATTTTGTCAGTCAAAACCTGTATAACTCAAATTTTTTTAACACTTTCTCTACTGCATTGTTGTAGTATTGTTGCCTGGCCGTGCTGGCCCATTTTGGGGAAAATAAGGAAATGTGCTATTTTCTGTAAATAAATGACTATGAAGATACTGAGAGTGATTGTTCATGGGCACCACCATTTTGGTTTTTCATGAAATACTCTACAATACGGAATAAGCTAAATGATACCACAAATACACAATATAATAAGAATAAATCATGAAACTGATCATACTGTATACTATGTGATGTCTAGGCTGGTTTGAAAATAGTCTTAAGCATTAGTTTGTTTATATATATATATATATATATATATATATATATATAAAAGAAATATAGTTTTAAGGTGTGCTATATTTATGGGATAAAGTGCACATTCAATATCAGAGATAGAGTGTATGTAAATATGAAAGTGAACCTTGAAGTCGACACTCAGAAGCGACATACTGTTTCATGCTAGACACAGTTGTCAGGCCATGTGGCCTGATGATTACATCTAGCATGAAACAGTCTGTCACCTCTGAGTGTTGACATCAATGTTCACTTATGTTAACAACATGCAATGCAAGTTTTGTAAAGACATTTTAGTATGTCCATAGCATTGGAATTGTTATTAATATTGTGGAATTTTATCCATGTTGTATTTGGCTTTCCAAATCTAGCCTCACTGTCCGGAAAGGTTCAAGTTTTGCTTAACACTTTCACTGTTGCATTGTTATAGCATTGTTGCCTGGCAATGTTGGCCCATTTTGAGAGAAAAATAAATTGACATTTACTGAAAATAAATGGTGATAAAGACACAAATGCATGAAACCAACATTTTACAGTATCTTGAAAACGTGTGTATATATATATATATATATATATATATATATAAGACAAAGTGTAAAATTTATAAACTGACCTCTCTCTCTCTCTTTCCCTATATATCCACTTTTTGGAAGAACCGTATTCAGAGAACTGATGTACATCATGCTCCATGAGGTTTCTAAACTGCCCTCCTCAGGTTTTAAATTCAGAATTATCCTCCTCCTAAATTGGTTGCCAACCAAGGCTTTAGTGCCCAGACTATCCAGTTATTTAACCTGTATCTGGGAGGAGAAGAGATGGATTCATACTTTTCCCAAGGATATTTGCACACAAGCGAATATAACGAACTCGACTGGAATTTGAACTCACTTCTCTGACTTTTCATTTTGAGCCAAGGCATTATCCATTACACCACCTGCACACCTGTGCATGTGGGCATCGACAGCAGACAATGCAAGTTTTGTATAGACATATAGGAATGTCTAGAATAGTGAAAGTTTTAAATAAACATTTCTCTATTTTTCTTGATAGGCATTAGTATGCTAAAATTGACATTGAAATGTCTGTTTTCTCATTTCAGGATGACACCATTGGTAACCACACTCTCCACCGGACACACATGAACATTCATCAATTTAATGTTTCCAAACTAAATAAGGACCAATCCTTTCATATACTGGTCAATTTGACACCAGTCTACAGTGGCCAGTTGTTTCCCATCACTATCTCTATCAGGTTGGTAATAATCTAGTCTGATGCAAGACCATTGTCAGTGGGGTAACCAGTGAAAATCACTCTCATTGTGCTGACTTGGAAAACTAACAATCTTTGTTGATCTAAGAATTACTTATAATAATGTATAGTAAATACAAATTACTTATAATACAGTGCTTCTCAAATTATCTGATATGGTGGACCGACATTTTTTTTCTCAATATGTCACATACCTGTAATATTTCATGGTAATATTAATTTGTAACAGAAATGATATATATAATGAATATAATAAAAGTTGACTGTTTTTTATCTTCCATTCATTTTGCAAAAAATAATCCAATATCAAGATATATAAAAAGTAATAAAAAAAATAAGCATTTTATTAACACAAAAACAAAAATTATATAACCTTAATTTTTACAAATGATTCCTTAACATGGCCTAGACACTGGCTGCGTACAGGTAGCTGATGGTTCGCGGACCAGCACCAGCCCACGGACCACCAATTTGAATAGCACTAATATAGTAAATAAGAATTACTTATGATATAGTAAATAAGAATTACTTATGATATAGTAAATAAGAATTACTTATAGTAATTTATCGTAAGTAAGAATTACTTTTTTACTACATATAAATATAATTGGAAAAATATATTTAAAAACATACTTGTGAAAACCTTTTGGTAGTAAGTACTTCAGAAAATTTCAGTTTCATATTACCGCCATTTTGGGCACCATTGGTAAAGTAGTAATAATATAAGATTCTACTGAACATAAAGTGGAGGATCAGTTTTCAATAGTCATTAAGTAATAAACTGATTCCCCAGAATTACTATATATTGATATCATAATTAGGAAAAATATATTTAAAAACTCCAATGTGAAAACCTAATGACAGTCAGAACTTGAGAAATTACATGCATAAGCAAGTAATAATAAAGATTCTGTTGGACATAGATTGGGGGACTATTTCTTGAGAATGTTGAATAATAAAATGATCCTCCAGAATTATTGTTTGTTACTATAATAATTGGAAAAATGTCTGTGTTTAAATTAGAAATATTATAACTACAAAGTTGAGTTTCATTCTAAGTGCTCCATATTTGTCACCATGTGCCAGGCTAAACTGTTTAAATAACTATAAGATTATAAACATTTGAATGTTAAACATTTAAGACATTAAAATAGATCAGACCGTTACAACTAAGACATGCCATGCTATTTCCACAGAGTCGAATCAACCACATTTCCTCCGTATTCCAATTGTAAGGAGGAAGTTTCACTTAGACATCCTTTTACTATATGGATGCTCCCTTGAACACTACACTTAATGTCTTCAAGTCAAGGGTTAATCATTATCTATCATAATCCTTGGTCTTACAGCCATACCACATTGATACACCTGTTCTTGTATGACCACTGAAGTTAAGCAATGTTGAGACTGGTGAGTACTTAGATAGGTGACTGGATATGAACAAGTGCTGTAAGGTGGTGTAATGGATAACAGCTTGGAATTGAAAATTGGAAAGCCGAGTTCTAATTCAAGTCAGATTCATTATATTCACTTACACACAAATACTCTTGGAAAAGGTATAAATCCACCATTCTCTCTATCAGCTGATCCTTAGTTCTACCTTTTTGGACCATTACAGATAGGATTTGCCATGTTACTTCCACAGAATTGAAAGTTCCACTCAGAAATCCTTTTCTCAAGAACTGCTACTCTGTGGAAACATTTTACAATTTTAGTCCTTTCAAGTGAAAGGTCATTAGATTAGCAGCCATAATTACTTTGTTGAAATTTCTAGATGTGACTGTAAGTTCTACGCAACTAGTTTCTTTACACTATTTACACAGTTCAGATTGTTGTCCTCATCTTTATTGCTATATTCACAACATTTTGGCTGTTGTACACTCTGACCTTCAGGTGATTTATATTGGAATTTCAAACCAAACCCTTTATGTAGTCCATGGACATAGATTGGTCTAATTCAACGTGCTATGCCTTTTTTGGATATTTCAGTTTCAGTTATCTCCCTTTAGTAACTCAACTCTCCAAGTTTTTGTTCCCTCTACTGTGGCCAGGTATTGAACTCAAAACTCATTGACATCAAGTCACATTTTGAATTACTCAACTAACACTTTTATCCACTGGAAATAGAGACAGATAATAGTTTCTCCTCCTGCATGTCTCACTTGTGGAAATCACTTTTGGTTTCTTGCTTTCTTGTTAGCTATGATAATCAAAAATTTAAATGCAATGTCAATCATCATCCTTAATCTCTTTGGATCCTGTTCTTTTATTGTCTTCTCTATTTCTTTCACTCACAGTAACTTTTATCACCTTTCTTGGGATGAAATGATTTAAAAAAAATACTATCACATACCTCATTCATCATAGCCACTTTAACCATAAGCTTTTAGCTTGAGTTTATCTTAGGCTTTGCAGCAGGTAAACTTTTTTAAAAAAAATTATGCTTGTAATTTATTCTTTGCAGCTGTTGTTTAAATTTTTTTTTTTTTTTTCTCTGTTATATTATTTTTCTCTTGATTGGTCAGCACGGCCTGAAATTTTGTCTCGAACCTCTCTAGTCAAGAAGGTGAGCAAAGTTTCAGGTGTAGCTGACCAACCAATTTTCAGCTGATTCTTCTCAAGGCCAAATTGACACAACGAATCAAGACTCGACACTGAAAACCTGTTGGGTACTTCTCTCCAACATCTTATTTTAAAATCTTAGACAAGTGCAGATGCTTGGAGAAACAATAGAAGACAACACAGTTAACTTGGAAAATAGTTTGGAGATGCATCAACAATTGCATCAGAGTAACCTGACTTAATTTGCTATTTGGTGTAGCCAGGATTATCCTTATATAATCTCCCCTTATGCACAACTGGTGATATACCTACCACAAACTCCATCTCCTTACATATTGAGCAAAACATTGATCCTAATAATTTATTTCCTTCATTAAATTATAATCAATAAATAACTATATACCAGGAATTGAAACCATATCTCTATGACAACAGTGATTTGCTAATCCTTCATGGAAGAAAATTGTACATTTTTTAATTATTTTTCAACATTGTCCAAGGAAGACAACTTGTATGACAAGATAGTTAAAGAATCAGAAATAAAGAGTTGTTTCCCTTTAAAAGATGTGTGAGTACTGCAACAGTTATTGGTACAGAAAGTGAAATCAGGTTTTCTTCCCCAGGCCACCAAAAGTGTACCAGATCCAAATTCAGATCCTTCTCACTCTGTTAGAGGAACCCCTCCCCAGCTAACCATATCTTCAGGGGTGTAGCTGTACTCACACTTGGCCTATTGTGGGTTGTTGAGGCTATTTAACACTTAGATATTTTGCAGTGTTATCCTTCTCCTCGACTGGTTGCCACCCAAAGCTATAGGGCACAGTCTGTCCTGTTATTTACCCATAGCTGAGAGGAGAAGATATGGATTCATACCTTTCCCAACAGTATTTGCACATGGAGTAGATATGTTTAACTATCATCTGGTTCATACTCCCTCCCAGTGTTTTGAACAGGAGTTTTATCCCTTTTAGGATTAGGTTTCAAGTTCCTTCTAAAGTCTTTTCATTTTCTTTTAATCCCAGTAGCTTTGTCAGGCCCAATAAAAAGAAGAAAAAAACAGATGCACAACAGAAGAATTGAGAAATTGGTTCAATGTAGAAGATTCATCGGATCCAAGGGTAGAAGATTCATCGGATGCAAGTTTGTCCGGATGTACAAATCCAGAAGAAAGGATGAATTCAACGAATTAATTTCTGTCAGTCAAAAATACAATCCTGTATGAACTGTTAAATCACAAAAGGACTAATTTACATTAGATCTGAAAGTTAGGTGTCTTTTTTGTAATAGTTAAGAAGAATCACCAGCCCAGCACTGGGTTAAGGAACAAAAAAAATCCTTTGCAATCTTTTGTTACTTAGTATTTGTTGTAAAGTAGTTTTCACAGTGGAGGCTTGTATTTCAATAAGTTGGTCCTAAAAGGGTCCAACGTACAAAACGTTAGGAACTTGCAATAATAGTTAATGCCACAGCAATCTAGTTGTAGTCATTGATACTTCAATGTCCGACATCGACTGATTCACTCAACTCCACTGAGCTCAACTGGTGACTGCTACTACTATTACTACTACTTATGTGTGGGAGAGTCTATTACAATAGAATAGGTAATGTTTTAGTATAACAGTATTAAAAATTAGCATGTCATATTTACTGATGAAACAATGTTTCAACTTTGATTAATATTTTTTTGCTGTCTATCTTTTGTATAGCTCAGGCATTTTATAAACTTATCTATCTTTCGTAATCTTTGTCTGTTGTCCAGTGACCACCGTCCAGAAAAAACCAGCAAGTACATTTATTCTGAAAAGTTTGATCCGCAACAGAATGAAGTGAAAATATTTTTACCATCTGGAGAACTCAAAAGTAAGTTTCTACTTCTTCTTCTTCTTAAACATTTCATATTCATTGATTTTATAAGAGGTGACAGGATAAAAAAAAAGAAAACAGTTATTATTACTTTTTTAACTAGTATTTCTGTGTTGTTTTTTTTTTCATTAGTTTAGTATCGATCACTTTAATTATGTCAGGATGACCAAATTTCAAAACCAAATTTTTTGTCCATTTCAAATAGTTCATTTATTAGAAAATATATTCACTATTTACATTATTTGGATTATTGTCCTCATCTTTGTTGCCATATTTATCACAAGGTTTCAGCCAATGTACGCTCCGGCCTTCTTCAGGTGGTTGGAATATTGAACTGAACCCTTTATTTCTCTCGCTGGGGTAGACTGTTTGAGTTCCATGTCTAATGGATATCAGTTATCTCCCGTTAATTCCCCTCTCCCGGTTCTCCACTGCCTTCACCAGATATTGAACTCACAACTCTTTGGGCCCTGTCACTGGATCTAACCAACACCTTTAGGACACATGTCATGGTGGATAAAGGCGTTGGTTATTCCAACCACCTGAAGAAGGCCGGAGTGTACAACGGCCAAAAATATGACAACAAAGATGAGGACAATAGTCCAAATAATGTAAATAGTGTACATAATACCTCATCTCAGAAATATAGACAAATACAAAATATATTCAGATAAATAAAATCTTAATTTGAAACGACATTTATGTCACTTGTTTAGTAGATATCACTTCACTGATAGCAAGATGATCAAATTTCATATCTAAAATCTTTGTCCATTTCAAATATTATTACACAATGTATTCATTTTAAATACAGGTGTCATTAAAAAAATAACATTTTAGCTTATACTCTTTTACCTGTTACCCAGGGGTTATTGCCAGACAAGGAAATTTCCCCTCATGATACAGATGACCATTTCAATTTCATTCAGTTTGTGTGCATCTGTGTTTTACTTCAATAACAGACCTAGAATATTTTTAGAAGTTAAAAATTTAACGCTTTTTTTTCTGAGAAATTTCATACACCATTTTTTCTCTCATACCATTTTTTTTTTTTTACCAAAATTCACTTTTTTTAACCATTAATTTTTTTTCAAAATTTTGACTTAAACTGACTTTACCATCATAAGTAATAAACTGGACATTTATTTTGTGTCCGTCTCTATGTTATCAGGTTCTTTCCTTTTTATAATATTGTGGGGTAATGGTTAACAAGCTGAACTTATAGATCATTAGTTGTAAGTTTGATCCTCACTAGGTGCCCTGAAGCTAGTCAAGTTGAATACTGCCAACAGTAAAGAATGTATTCAGAATAAGCTTCAGGTTAAAAAAAAATCAAATCAAAAATTATTTGAAGTTTCTTTTTGAAAATTAAATGCCAAATCCTAACATCTATCTTTGATTCTTTTAAAGTTGACTTTCATGTTTTCCTGAACTATGTTTTTCTTCCAGATGGTACTTACTATCTGAGCACTGTTGATGCCACATACAATGAGGGTCGCCCCAGACCAGGTGTGGTCACTCACAGGAACTACACGCTCAGACTCTGGTGGGGCCAATGTCTTTTCTGGAATAAGACTGATTCCAAATGGTCAGACAGTGGCTGCACTGATACAAGTGAATCAACACCTGAGTGGACCCAGTGCAAGTAAGTAAAATCCTGGGTGTGTTCTGACCTGGAAATTATCATAGTGAACAGCATTACCTTTTCTGCTGTTTTGTTTTTCTGTCCATAGCAATAGACTTGCCAGTCATTGGATAATTATGAACAAACTTATCTCATTGCTAAGTGTCATGATTTTAGCATTCCAGGTAAAAAGAGGTATGCTCCATGTTAACTCAAGTCCATAAATGTTGCATTACTCAAACAACAGTTCTTAAGAAGATGAAATAAAAAAAATAATGTAAATACTCAGCTCCACTCAAAGCAAGAAAGCACAATATTACTTAAAAGAATAAGCAAAACTATGAAAGTATATTAACCTGTTGCCAGTTTAAACTGATGCTTGCTTTTTTTTATTTGGATAAAATATAATTATAAGATATAATTTTGGAAAGCAAATATTTCACTGAAGTCAAGAAAATACTAACTTTAAGCAAAGTGATCTCTATGGAATAAAGAAGGCATCAACCTGAACCAGTATCCCCCTGGTGTTAGTTAAAACTGACATCTTCATTATTCTATATGTCTAAACTGTAATTAAAAACTATAATTTTGGAATGTGAAAATTCAATTGGAACATACTGGAATATTGAAAAGTTTTTGTCTAAAATCAAAAAAATACAGACTATAAGCAAAATGGTTTCTGTGTATTTAAACTGACACCAGGAGGATATGGATCCATAAGCTTATATATGTAAATATAATTATTAAATTTTAGGACACCAGGAGGATATGGATTTATAAGCTTATATATGTAAATATAATTATTAAATAAAAATCAATTTATCTCAGATATTCAAATATATCTCTGAATTTTTAAAATGGTTTATGCTAGCGGTACTTTTGCCAACACTGCAAATTGTTACAAAACTAAAAAACCGAAAAACTCATGTCATAATTCTAAATAACTTTGTTAGATTTAGACTATCACATGGATGTGATGCACAACACCAAACCCATTCAGAAATACCTAAACTATCACCTGTATATAACTGCTTCCTCAGACCATTGATTAAAAATTGCTTTGCCTGTGGAATTTGGTAAAACACTAATTAAATATCTTGTTTCTTCCAGGTGCAACCATCTCACAAGCTTTGGTAGTCATTTTAAACCAATCATTACCGAGTTAAGCACAATTGATGTGGAACATTTCATTGAGTAAGTTTTTTTTATTGAATTTGTTTTGCATTTCTTCTTCTTCTTCCTCCTCCTCCTCCTCCTCCTCCTGTTCTATTACACCCAATGTCATGCATTTGTCTGTTTATTTATTTTTGAAAATAACAATTGGTGGTCATTTGATAAAAAATTGCCTGGGGATACTGTTGAAAACCAAGGTGCAATTCAACAAGGTCCTGATATATATATATATATATATATATATATATATATATATATATATATATATATATATAGGAAAAGGGTTACAATTGTTCCAATGAGAGAAAAGTGTATATTTTAAAAAGAAAAGAGAAGCCACAAACATTTTGGTTTTAATATGGATTTTTTTATATATATATATATATATATATATTATTTTCCATACTTTTGCTACACGAGTTTCTGGTCTTGCAACCTTCTTCAGACAAAAAAGTAGATATTTCCATATGTGTGTGTGTGTGTGTGTGTGTGTGTGTATATATATATATATATATATATATATATATATATATATATAAAATTAATTGATTTAAAATATGTTTTTTTTAAGTTACACAGTTCCAACCAAGTTTTAAAAATAGAAGCTAAAACCCAATTTAATTTTGCAATTAAATTAAAAGCATTAGTTCATTTCATCTTCAAGCGAATTTTGGAGTAACTTTTAAAAATTACCTGGTTTTAAAGACACAGCTAAAATCACGTTTCCATGGTTACAGAATATTCTACTTAAATTGAACAAGGGATGTCTAGATTTTCCTTATGTCAGTATCATTGTATCAGTTATTAGCTACAATTTGGTAAGAGGTAGGGATGTATTTTACAATAAAACCTGACATCATTTGAATGGATGTCGTCTGGTTTTTAAAAAAAAAAAATTGTTAATGGTAAAAAAATTTCAACGTCATTTTTTAAATTTAAAGATTTTCGGGGTTTTTTTTGGGTTTTTTTTCCTAATACTTTTTATTTAACTACGATTTGAAATATTCTCCTTTTTAATTTTTTATTTTACTATATTCTTTTTTAAGAACAGTTAAATGTATTAGAATCCATTATATTATGTAGGATTATTTTAACATCAAGTATGTATATGAGGTTACATTTTTTTTTTTTTTTTTTTTAAATTTATGACTATGACGGCAAAAATGGTTACTTAATTTCACTGATTTAGTAAACTTTTATTTTATATATAAACCTAGTAATATAATGTTTCTCATATAAGTACTAAGGACATGGGTCATATATATATATATATATATATATATATGATAAAGTGGGAAAAAGGTTTTAGGACTTCATTGGACTAAATTAGTTATGTTGGTAAGCTAAAACTTGGAAGAGGAATTTACCATTGCCTGCGGATACTGTAAGGTTGAAAGTAAGTTACCGGATTTAACTGACCTCCTGATTTTTAAAGTTAAAAGTTCTACATGTTATTTTTACTTTTTGTTTTTTGTTTTTTTTTTTCACACTGGTGTATTGAGCACTTTTTAATACTACTGTTTCATGGTCTGATTCAACTCTGACCATTAATCTTTTATGTATTATATATGAGTATGGTTTATTTTTGATTGCCTTTTTCATTCATTTTTTCTTTTTTCATTCTAGCTTACCAGTAAACCTCTTTCCACCACTGGTCTGTTTGTTCCTCACACTGCTTTATGGTGTTCTTTTGTATTGTTGCAAGAAGAGTGACTTGCATGATGCCAAAAAATCTGGTATTGTCTATTTGCAAGACAACTTACCAACAGATCGACAGAAATATGAGATTGTAGTTGAAACTGGATTCCGTAAAGGAGCAGGCACAACAGCTAAAGTAGGTATTTTGCTTCTATACCAAAATTTCTTGTTAAAGTAAAAAAAAAAAAATCATTCTATTATAAATTTCCTTAAAACAAGGAATATGAGAATTGATTGGAATATATCTTACAAAATTTTCTAGTGTAGGTATTTCTCATATATGCGTAATTGAATGACAAAATGAAAAAAAAAAATCTCTTTTATGCATCCCCCCCTCCGCAATTCTTCTAAAAATGGTTTTATCAATGGAGTCTTACCTGTATAAGAGGGAAGAACTACAACAAATATTAAAGTATCATTTTATGAAATAAGGACATTTAGCTTTAAATATAAATGCAAAATGAAGCCAACCGTGTTCAGCTAGCCAATGGTTTCATTTTTAATTGCTATTGTTTTTAAATATCTTACATTTTAATAGCAGTGTCAATCTTTAACTTTCATGCCTGCAAGAAATGGTGTGTCAAAAGGATGGTCTTTCTCATGACAAATAGTGGTCGATGTATAAGTAAAGAGCAATAATTAATGAGGAAAAAGAAATGGATATGGCTCTTCATAAAAAAAAAGTTTACTCAGCCGTGCTCTTGTCTCTCTGTCACACACACACACACACACACACACACTTCTACAGGAGAACAAGTCACATATTAAAAACATTTTGTGTCAATTAATTTTAATAGACAATTTTTCCATATTACTAATAATCCTTATCGGACAAAGAGGAAATTCAATCCAAAGTTCATTTCGGAAAAAAAGTACAAGAAATATAGCCCAAGCTTTTCGACATTTTAAGTCACAATCTGGATGGATAGAGACATTAGTGAGTTTCATGAAACTAGTGAGTGTTGTGATATGTTTTTTTTTTAATATACATTTGTGGATGCAGGATATATATATATATATATATATATATATATATAGTCATCCACAAACAGACTGTTTCACTGTATCACAGCGCATCAGTGTGGCTAGACATCCGGTTGCCTCTAGCTAGGATCGAAACCCAACTGAATTGGCGTCAGTCGGGGGATTCTACCCCTAAACCCGTTAGCGCACGGCAGGGATGAAGGTGAATTTAAGCGTATTTATTTTAACCAAATGAAATGAGAGTGAATAAAATATGAATTCAGATGTTCACAACATTAATTTAAAAATAGGACACAATACAATTGTAAAGCAATAATTATTTATTATAGGATATTACAATTCAAACATATATGTAACCACTACATAAAAGCATTCATGTTTCGATGCATATCATCGCATCTCATCAGGCAGTGGTAAATGAGGGTTATTAATAGTAGCTGTCCTACATATGTTCGAATTCTTAAAATACATTTGTAAACATATGGTAGAGGTCATCAGTGATGTTTTCTTGGCTCCATCATGAATTTTGGGTAATGCAACATCAGATTCATTCTGCTAGGTACCCCGACCTGTTAACAGGCCGTCTTGCCACATAATTCGCTCCATGATGTGGATTATAATAATATAGTATAATAAAGATATATATATATATAGAAGTCAACACTTAGAGGCGACAGTCTGTTTCATGCTAGACGCAATCATCAGGCCATGAGTGCTGTTTTTTTTCTTGGCTATTTATATAAACGGGTCAGTGGTGCATTATGGGTCTATTTTGGCAGTTATTTTACCGGAAGTCATATATTTGTTTATTTATTTATTTGGGTTAAATTATTTTACTTGTTTTTATTTATAGATAGATAATTAAAAATAATGATTAAAACTATTCAATTATGGGGTTCATTGTTGTAGTTTATTCTAACTATTATTTTGGCAGGAGCAGTTTTTAATTTGTTTATTACTTCATGTATTTATTTGGATTGATTATCTTTATTTGTTTTTTTCTAATGGTTAATTTATCAGGATCAGTTTGTTAGTTTATTTATTTGGATGAATTTAGATTAATTTATTTTACTTGTTTTTTTATTATTTATTATACTGTATATTTTTATTTACTCTTTTTGGTTTTTGATTTTTAGGTAACGTAGTTCTTTTATCATTATATAACAGTTACAGCTATTGTTTTCGTCCGATTTATGGTTTGATTATTATAGTCTAACTAATATTTTGGTCATAATGGTTTGTTAATTTGTTTATTATTTACTTTATTTATTTGGGTTCATTGATTTTGTTTTTTATTTTTATTCTGACAGGTGCGATTTGGTAATTTGTTTGGGTTAATTTATTTTACTTATTTTATTGTCATTTTCTTTATTTTTTTTTTTCAGTTTTTAAGTAATGTAGTAAAAATTTGTTTTCATGTCTGCATTTTGAGATGAGCTCGAATCTTTTATTTAATATTTTTTTTGGTCTGGGAAGGTAATGATAACTGTTTTTCCTCCAAGAAAAGATTGCAAGTTTTTGACTGGTTGTTGTAGGCTGATGATCTTTTCCTTATTTTCCAAGATATTTTTGGTGTGATGTGCATTTTGTTTTTATTTTCTCAGAAAGCATTGTGCTGTTTGCATATTTACTATTTGTGAAAGATGGTTTGTGTGCATAATTTCTTTGTTTCCAGGGTCCTTCAGTTACTCCTATGTATACTTTTTCTTCATTATCTAATGGTTTTATTGTGGCATGGTATATTACGTTGTTTTGTAAACAATTACCGTTTAAGGGACATTCGTTCTTGATTCTGCAGTTGCTACTGGGATCACCTCCTTCAGACTAATAATATCAAGGAGTCACCCTCCTGACAAATCAACCCTGGTGAGATTCAAACCTGGGTGTCATGGTCAGAAAGCGAATGTTCTAACCAGTCAGCCATCTTTCATGTCTCCTGAATCATTTCAGCCATGTAAAAGTCTTGATGATAATGTTGGGTACAAATCTATAGTCAAGTATTTTTATTTATTACTGTGTCAGACTTGTCTCCTGTTATTTCTTGATGTTGGTCATGTTTATTCATTTATTTTGACCAATTAATGTTCATGTTAAAACTGGGATGGTGGACATTAATAGTTATAGATAGAAATTCTTTTGGTTTTAGTTTTCAGAATTGTTGCCAGGTTTTATGGTGAGTTTTAATTTTACATTCTGTCTTTTGTTTTTTTATGTTTTTTTTTGTTCTCTTTACCAGATCAGTATCATCCTTCATGGAGAGTACGGCATCTCAGAGACAAGGGAACTGATCTCCGATGAAGAAAAACCCTTATTTGAGAGAAACTCCCGAGACAGATTTGTTCTCACGTAAGTTTCTCTATTCTGCTCCCAACTGTTATAATTCTTTTGCTCTCCTTTCACGACTCCCCTTTTGCTCTCCTTTCACGACTCCCCTTTTGCTCTCCTTTCACGACTTTCCTTTTGCCCTCCTTTCACACAGCCTTACTCTGCTTTCTCTTCTCTCTTTCTGCCTCATCAAAATATGATCTTCAATGCAGGAGAGACATCCTCTATATTGTAAACACTCTTTTTTATATTTTCTATCTTCATTTTTTATTAATGTGAGAAATATTTCTCTCAAAATTTTATGTTTTGGCTCATTGGCTATGAACACAGTGATCTGTCTAGGCTTATAGCCACGTCATGTTGAAAAACTAGTTCCCGTATGATCATTGAAGTTAATCAATGTCAAGCCTGGTCAGTACCTGGATGGGTGACCACTTGGGAATACCAAGTGCTGTAAGCTTGAATGTATGGGTGGTGTCATGGATAATGGCTGAAAATTGTTAATCAGGGAGTCAAATTCTGATTTCTGTTGGATTTGGTATATTCACTTACATACACATACTCTTAGGAAAGATATGAATCAACCTCTTCTCCCCCAACTATGGGTTAATTAATAAGACTTGTATCATTATTATCTCCAAAAATGTCTTTACACTCTAAAATATTTTCTGGCTTTAAATAACCTGAAAAGAGTTGATAAGCCATAAAAAACCTATCAGTCAGTGACTAGAAAAGATCTATTTTATGTGTAATGTAAATGCACTGCTAATGCATTTATTATTGAAATACATTAAAAATGAGGAAGAAAGTGATTGTCCATGGTCAGGAATTAATGCAAGCATTACTGATGGAAAAGGTTTATTATATGTATAATGTTAAATGCATTGCTAATGAATTTATTTACTACAGAAATGCATTAAAAATAAAGAAGAAAGGGATTCTTGGTGATCAGGAATTAATTCAAACATGGATAGAAAATGGTATGGATCCACCTCTTCTCCACCTAGCTATGGGATTTGTATCACTAAATCATTACCTCAAAAAAAAAAAATTGTAACAATCTAAAAATATTTTCTGGCTTTAATAACATGTCGAACTGAACCCTTTATTTCGCTCACTGGCACGTGGAACTAGAACAGTCTACCCCAGTGAGCGAAATAAAATTCAGTTTGACATTCCAATCACCAGAAGAAGGCCAGAGTGTACAATGGCAGAAACATTGTGATAAATATGGCGACAAAGATGAGGACAATAGTTCGAATAATGTAAATAATACCTCATCTCAGAAATATAGACAGACTCTAAACATTGTTATAAAATTGACAAAGAAAGCTGAAAGGGAAACTATTAAAAAAAAATAATAATGAAAATCCTTTGCCAAAAAAAATTCTGACGACATAAGATGAAAGCAATTAATGTTTTATCACAATACAGATTGTGTAAGTAACAAGAAAATCTCAAAGAAAATGGCAACAGAAAGAAGACATCTACTAAGAATTGGAAAAATGCAAATTCCTTGGACACAATAAGGAAGGTGGGCTTGGAAAACGTGATCCTCAGGGGGCATATTGAGGCCAAGAGAGATAAGGGAAGGCAGCAAGCCACTTACCAGATGAGCCTCTGTGAATGGATGGTGGAAAAGGGTGGGGACTGCTAGATGGAAACCTTAGCAGAATGAGAAAAACTGCTATGAGCTACAAAGGATAAGAAGTTGTGGAGAGCCATGAACACCTATGTCTTGAAAGAATGCAGTACACAGAAGTGTTCTGTACTATTATTAAAAGAAAAAAAAAAAGGGTTATGTTTAGTATTGGTAATCTTCATTTTATCAACCACTCTTTCTAATTTCTAATCTGCTTTGGGGACACATTTTTAAAATAATTCTTTTTTTATGACACATTATTCAAGTTTTGATAGCCAAGCCAAACATTTAATTTGCAATGTATATAAAAAGATAATGAAACCTCCAATTAATAGTTAAAGAGAGAACAGTAAACATCTTGTATCTTAGTGTCTATATTGCCTTACTTGTTATTTAAAAGGTAAATGTATCAATTAATATGTTAACTCAGGTGTACATAAGTTTTAGACATTTTCTTTTAATTTTTTAAAGCTTGCCAGACAGCATTGGCAAATTACTCAAACTTCAGCTGTGGCATAACAATTCTGGATCTTCACCTTGTTGGTACCTGAGTAGAGTGATCATCACAGATGTTAATTTGGGTAAGTTTATTCTATCTCCTTTCCTGCAATTTGATCCATGGGTCACATTGATGGAAACACAACTCATCATAATGTTTGTCATTTGAATGGTTTTCAGAAAATGATTTAAGAATTCATTCTTTTTCACTCTTTTAGTGTTTCATCTTTCTTTTTATTCCTTGTATTTTCTTTTTCTCTTATTTTCTTTTTGTCTTATTTTCTTTTTGTCTTATTTTCTTTTTCTCTTCTTTTCTTTTTCTCTTCTTTTCTTTTTCTCTTATTTTCTTTTTCTCTTATTTTCTTTTTCTCTTATTTTCTTTTTCTCTTATTTTCTTTTTCTCTTATTTTCTTTTTCTCTTATTTTCTTTTTCTCTTATTTTCTTTTGAACTTCTTTTTTCTTATTACTTTGTTTTTATTCTTGATTTTTTTTCTTTTACTGTTTTCTCTTTCTCTTTATTGTTTTGTGGTTTCTTTTTTTCTGGAAAAGAAAATGAAAAATGATTACATTTTCTTTTTCTCTTATTCATTTTTTCTATTTGTCTATATCTCTGAGATGAGGTATCATGCTTACTTGTATTATTTACATTATTCAGACTGTTATCCTCATATTCATTGCCATATTCACAATGATTCAGCTGTTATACACTTCAGCCTTCTTCGGGTGATTGGAATTTCAAACCGAACCCTTTATTTTGTCCACCAAGGTAGATTGTTCTAGTTCCACGTACCATGTCTTTTCCGGATGCCTCAGTTATTTCTTTTTAACTCAACTCTCCAAGTTTTGGTCCGCCACTGCTGTGGCCTGGTGCTGAACTCATAACTCTTTGGATCTAGTCCTCAAGGACACATGGCCCAGTAGTTAAAGATGTTGGTTAGATCCAGTGACTAGACCCAAAGAGTTGTGAGTTCAATACCTGGCCACAGCAGTGGTGAACCAAAATTTGGAGAGCTGAGTTAAATCTAAAATAACAGAACATCAAAGATTTCATGGCTCGTGGGCAGGTTCTCTACCCCTTTTCATGAAATAAAGGGCTCGTTTTGTTTTCAATCACCTGAAAAAACTGTTAGAGTTTAGCTTCTCCAACGGCTGAGGCGCTGTGAATATGGCAATGAAAAATTCTAGGATAACAGTCCAAATAATAAATAATACAAAACAATTCTTTTCATTTTTCTGTTTTCAATTTTCTTTGTTTTTACTTGTCTTTGCTGTTTTATTCTTTTCAGTTTCTATCTCTCTTCACTTTTTTCTTTACTGTTTTTTTCTAAAAAATGTTTCTCTTCATTCTTTAATGTTTTGCTTTCATTTTTAATTTTCTTTTGTTTAGTTTTACTGGGGAGCCTTTATTTTTTTTCCTTTTTCTCTTTTTGTCTGCCTCTGTTTTTCAGTATTGTTCTTGTATTTTGGCTGATTTCTTTTTTTTCTATTTCTTCTTTTTTTTTTCTATTTCTTCTTTTTTCTCTCTTCTTTTTCTCTTTCTTTCTTTCTTTTTCTCCTTTTTCTTTTTCTCCTTTTCTTTTTCTCCTTTTCTTTTTCTCCTTTTCTTTTCTCCTTTTTCTATTTCTCCTTTTTCTATTTCTCTTTTTCTATTTCTCTTTTTCTATTTCTCTTTTTCTATTTCTCTTTTTCTATTTCTCTTTTTCTATTTCTCTTTTTCCTCTTTTTTCTTTTTCTCTTTTTTCTTTTCTTTTTCTCTTTTTTTTCTTTTTTCTTTTTTCTCTTTTTTCTTTTTTCTTTTTCTTTTTCTTTTTCTCTTTTTTTTTTCTTTTCTTTTTTTTTTTTTTTTTCTCTTTCTCTTTTTTTTTCTTTTTTCTCTTTTCTTTTTTTTTTTCTTTTTCTTTTTCTTTTCTCTTTCTTTTTCTCTTTTCTCTTTCTTTCTTTTCTTTTTCTCTCTTTTTCTTTTCTCTTTTCTCTTTTCTTTTCTCTCTTTTCTTTTCTCTCTTTTTTCTCTTTCTTTTTTCTTTTCTTTCTTTTTTCTTTTCTTTTCTTTTTCTTTTCTTTTCTCTTCTTTTTTCTTTTTCTTTTCTTTTCTTTTTTTCTCTTTTTTTTTTTCTCTCTTTTCTTTTTCTTTTTTCTTTTTTCTTTTTTTTTTTTTTCTTTTCTCTTTTTCTTTTCTCTTTTTCTTTTTTCTTTTTTTTTTTTTTCTCTTTTTCTTTTTCTTTTTTCTTTTTTTTTCTTTTTTTTTCTCTTTTTCTCTTTTTCTTTTTTTTTCTTTTTTTTTCTTTTTCTCTTTTTCTTTTTTCTTTTTTCTCTCTTTTCTTTTTCTTTTTTCTTTTCTTTTCTCTCTCTTTCCTCTTTTCTCTCCTCTTTTTCTTTTCTTTTCTTTTCTTTCTCTTTTCTCTTTCTTCCTTTTCTTTTTCTTTTCTCTTTTCTTTTCTTTTCTCTTTTTCTCTTTCTTTTTCTTTTTCTCTTTCTCTCTTTTTCTTTTCCTTTTCTCTCTTTTTCTTTTTTCTTTTTTCTTTTTCTTTTTCTTTTTCCTTTTTTTTTTTTTTTTTCTTTTTTCTTTTTTTTTCTTTTTCTTTTTTTCTTCTTCTTTTTCTCTTTCCTCTCTTTTTCTTTTTTTTTCTTTTTCTTTCTCTTTTTTCTTCCTCTTTTTCTTTTCTCTTTTTTTTTCTTTTCTCTTTTTCTTTTTCTTTTTCTTTTCTCTTTTCTTTTTTTCTTTTCTTTTCTCTTTTTCTTTTCTCTTTTTGTCTTTTCTCTTTTTTCTTTTCTCTTTTCTTTTTTCTTTTTTTTTTTTTCTTTTCTTTTTCTTTTTCTTTTCCTCTTTTCTTTCTCTTTTTTCTTTTCTCTTTTTTTTTTTCTCTTTTTCCTCTTTTTTCTTCCTCTCTTTCCTCTTTCTTCTCTTTTCCTCTTTCTTCTCTTTTTCTCTTTCTTCTCTTTTTCTCTTTCTTCTCTTTTTCTCTTTCTTCTCTTTCTTCTCTTTTCTCTTTCTTCTCTTTTTCTCTTTCTTTTCTTTTCTTTTTCTTTTTCTCTTTTCTTTTCTTTTCTTTCTTCTCTCTTCTCTTTGCTATTTCTTTTCCCTTTTTTAGTACTATTTTATATAAAAAAAAATTGTTTCAACTTTAATCCTGATGTAATCTTTATCATCTGACCTTCTTTTAAAAACATTTTAATCCAAAGTTTTTATTTCCATTCCTCATTATTGTCAGCTGTAACAACATAAATCTGTCATGGATTTACATTCTTACAACTGACAATAATTGCTTGACATATGATAATTCTTGAAAAATGCTAATCCAACTTAATTTGAGCCTAGTTTATCTAAATTCAAGCTGTTGTTTGCATGTTTTGTTTATGGTTAAAGATACAGTAAAGGGCATTAGCTTCGCAGCACTATTGGTGTGGGGTTTGCTTTGATTTCATTCAGTTCTTTTCATTGCTGTTACTTTTTGCTTTCAGGCCAGACTTATTATTTCATCAGTGAGAGATGGTTCTCAGTCAGAGAAGATGATGGCCGAGTTGAGAGAGAACTTTGGGCAGCAGATAATAAGATTGGATTTGAGACGGTAAATACAGAAAGGAGTCCAAACAATTACTGGTTCCTTGATTAATATTTAATTTCTTTTATTAAACCTAATCTGCTAGATCTTCTATTACAGTCATTCCTCAATTTAATAGACCAAAGTACAATAGATTTGGGTTTTAATGACAATTATTTACAGATCCAAGAATTAGCTTGCGCTAGGCTGAATTTAAAGAAAAATATCTGAGCTTGGGTTATAAAATTTCCTAGTTTCTTTTATAATTAATTCTTTCATTATGCCTGAAATAAATCTTCTGAGAACGTGAGTCTCAATGGTAGATTTTGGTCAATTAAAAAAAGATAAAGAACAAAGGAACTATATATAAAAAACAAAGTAATTAATACACTTACTTTTTATAATAATTTAACTATCAACACCATTACATTTTTTTATGTATTTATCAGAACTTTGACAATGTATTAGACTACCTTGTGATCTGCAGAGGATCAAACTTTGCTCCTTAGACAATGATCAGTGTAATACCTGTGCAGCCCGCCAAGGGTCGGTGTAGTACCTGTGCGACCCTCTAGATCCATGTGTACAATAGATCATATGTCCTGATCTGATAAATATGTCTTATCCAAATGTCTGATATTTACTTCTTTCTGGCCACCATCATGTTCATTGAATGAATGTTATTTAATTTTAGTTTTTAAATTCTTTTAAACATAGCATTTTAGTGTCTTTTGCTAATGATGTAATTCGTGTGATAACACACAACCAAAATCCTAAATTGTTCTAAATGTTCCCTTTGTTTCTTAGATACATTTAAAATTGCCATCCTGAAACCAAAGAAAATCTTATTTGAATCCATATTTCTTCATTTCATGAGAAAGTCTTCAAGAATCTGCAGTCTTTTTCTTTTCTTTTCTTTTTCTTGAACAATTGACTGAAAATTAAATATTACTTTTGTTTAAAATATATAAAAGTTTTTAAATTCTCTTGTTCCATTTTTAGATTCTTTGGGCAAAAGGTGCACAATATATTGCTGATTATCACCTTTGGTCATCTGTATTCACAAAACCACCCCACAGTCGATTCACACGCGTCCAGAGGCTGACTGTTTGCTTGTCTTTACTTTGTATTTACATGTGTCTAAATGCCACTTGGTATCATGTGGCTACAAAAGAGGTAAGTCTTTATTAGCAAAGCTTTCATGGAACACTGTTTTGTCAGTAACACTTGTATTAATTTATGACCACAAACAATACATTTTTCTGCTAATTTTAAATGTATATCTGCAGCAAAATGATTGTCATTACATATCTACAGCAAAATGGTTTTTAATATATATCTGCAGCAAAACTATTTTCAATGAATATCTGTAGCAAAATGATTTTTGATGAGTATTAGCAACAAAACTATGAGCAGTGCATTTAACTTTATATATATATATATATATATATATATATATATATATAAAAGGCTCAAATACTAATCTTCCATGGTTATAATTTATTACATTGGAATCATAATCATGATCCAATTCATCAGACCTTCAAAAGGAAAACATAATTTCAGGTATAAAAACAAAATTTCAGTGAGAGTGTATGTGTGGGAGTGAGATACATTTCCTTCTCATGGGACACAAACATGATTTAATATCATTTGGTAGCATAAAGATTGCGAGAGTCAGAAAAATGAACATCCTCTGTTTGAAATGGCAACTCTTCTTGGTTTTTTTCATAGGAATACTAGCACGTGTTTTCTAGGAATATGTGACTTCTGGTCAGATAAACCAATAAGTGAGGCAAGAGCTGAAATTGCAGTGATTCACAAGGGTGGTAAGAACCCAATCACGGAGCATATACTGCATTCTATGATGTTTTATGCTTATTGACCAAGGGTACCATTATTGACACCATGGTATTACTGGATCTGGAGAGTATCACCATTGGGCCATGGAAGGCTGGCTTCATGTCCACTTGTGAGATGAGTCAGGTTTTGAACAGACAGTCTTGTTGGTAGGATGTTGTGCAAGCTGGTGGTACCTATGTTATGTTGTGGAGTATAATCTGTTGAAGTTAGCAAAGACCAAATGTGAAATTGGAAGCTTTCATGATTATTTTTTTTAATAAGATGAAAGAAAAGACATTATGATAATATTAGAATTTCTTTTTATAAATTAAATTTTGCTATTTTTTTTTTCCTCCCTATGATAGTACCGTGGAGAATTTGGCTTACTGGATGTTTCCTGGCAGTCCATCGCAGTTGGAATCCTCTCTTGCCTTGCAACAATTCCTCTCAATTGTTTCCTGGTTTTCCTTTTCAGAAGACGTTTGGTAAGTAACAGTGAGATCTTAATTTTCTTGCTCACACACACACACACACACACACATATATACATATATATATATATATATATATATATATATATATATATATATATATATATATATATATATATATATATATATATATGAGACACTAGGATGCAGGTTGAGGAATTGGAGAACCAAGTTTTAATTCTAGTCAGGTTCATTACATTCACTTATGTGCTAATACCCTTGGGAAAGGTATAAATCCATCTCTCATCCTCCCACCTAGAGGTAAATAGCAGGACAGGCTGGGTCCTATAGCCTTGGCTGGCAAACAAAAACTCAAAACCTGCAGTGGGTCATTTAGGGACAATTTTCTATATTTGGCTATTCCAATAATGTGTGGTCAGTTCAACACCAGTTTTCACCACAATAATCAAATTTTGTGTGTAGGTAGTCTGGCTGTTGATTCTAAGAATTGAGCTGCTTTACCCTAATACATTAAAAGCACAAGAGTCCAGTGTGTGTTTATATATATATATATATATATGTGTGTGTGTGTGTGTGTATAGGTTAATAAAACAAGGGAAAACAAAAGGGTACCAATGTGATCAATGCAAAAAACATTTATTAAATATTAATTATTAACCACAAGACAGAAATAAAGCACAGAGATTAATGTTATTAGTCTGGAATTTTAGGGGCATGCCTGTGTCCTTCATCAGCGGTGCAAGAAATGAACAGAGAAATGGGTAAGACTCACCAACAGTGGTTCTTGTGACTGGTATCAAATCATAGTAGATGGTATTATTAGTAAAAATCCAATCCCTGACTGATTCCTCATGTGCAAAACTTTTTTTTCAAACATATATATACATAAACAAAAGAGGTTATAGTAGTTCCAATGAGAGAAAATTGTGTATATTAAAAAGAAGAGAGAAACCACAAACCAAAAACGTTTGCAGTTTCTTTCTTCTTTTTAATATATATACTCACACACACTCACAAAATAAAATAAAATTTGAAATCGTCCCTCCATTGCTAAACCTCCAATCAACCCTTTTTGGTGATTTTATTTTGCCTTCGATAATTGAAAAAAAGAGGAGGCTATAATTAGCCTATCAAAAATTGAAGCAATTTTCATCTGTCCAGAAGACATTTTACAGATCAGAATGCTCTTTGAGAATCATCTCTGCTACTGTGATCTGTTTTTTTGGTGGCATTTAGGCAAAAACAATTTCTGTTTTTTATCTCTCACCAGTGTTACATTAGAATTACTGGCCAAACATGTTGGCAAAAGATTTTGACTCTTGATGTATTTGGATTATTGTTTGTACAATTTTCCAAATTCTTTTTGATTGATTTTTCTATCAGGTCTATTAAAATTTGTTGGCTTACAACCATATCACATTAAAACACCAGTTCTTGTACGATCACCAAAGTTAAGCAATGTCAAGCTTGGTTAGTACATAGATGGGTAATCATTTGGGAATATCAGGTATTGTAAACTTAGATGGTTTAATGAATAACTGCTCAGAATGAAAAATTGGGGAGCCGAGTTCCAATTCCAGTCAGGTTTGTTATATTCACTTGAGTGCAAATACCCTTTGGGAAAAGTATGAATCCATTTCTTCTCCCCCAGCTCAAGCAGAATATGCGTTAATTAATAAAACTTGTACCAGTAAATCATTATTATCTCCAAACAGTTTTTACAATCTAAAAAGAATTGAAGGGCTTTAAATAACCCGCAAAAGGTTGATAGCCCATAAAAAACAAATCAATCAATTAATTTAATAAAAACATTACAGTTAAATCTCCTGTATGTAACATTAGATTTTAGTCAACTCTGGACTTCATCAGGCACTGTCAACTCATAGGGGTGTGGCACTTAGGCCCTCTCTGAAGTGGGTGTTTACATATCTAAGGTTTTTTTTCCCATGTATGCATGACTTAAACGCAGTAGGGTCAATCCCATGTTTACTCATTAGGGTCTGCCACTGACATTGTGTGAGGCATGACTCTGCACTTGGTGGCTAGTAGATTATCTATCAGGTTAACTTACTGATACACCTGGCTTCTCTGGCATCAGTCTGTGTGTTGCCCCAGGTCATTATCCAAATGAGTGGGTCTCACATTCTCATTTACAATATTTCAAGGCTCTTTGGTGCAGATGTTTGTATTTGTTTGATTAACAGTTCTTTCCCACGTGTACCCATCATATGTTGAAGCAACCAATGACGTTCTGTGAGGCATGGATCTGCATTTGGTGTTGATACACCTGGCTTCTCTGATATCATGCCAAGTACAAGGTCTTTCCTTTTAGGAACTGGTGTGGGACATACTACACAAGTATAGGATCTTCCATGCATTTCCAAGCATTTCTCTTACTTTCAAAACAGTTTGCAATAAAAACTTTGATATTTAACCTATTTCAATATGTATTAAAATTTTAATGAAACTTATAATCATTGCTGCAATTCTGACATTTTTTTTGGTACCTACCTACCTAGTTAAGCAATGCATAAATTCTCCCATTTTAAACTTCTTTTTGGTACCTACCAAGAAAACCATTTTCATACAGACTACCGTTCTGGTACCTATCTAGTTAAGCAACACATAAATTATTCCATTTTATTCAACTATATGTAAAAAAATTTTTTTTTTTTTTTTTTTTTTTTACTAAGTTTCATCCTAGGCTTGAGAGCTATTCAAGGTAGAGGGTTATTGAAAGGTGTGTGATATGAGTGTAACAAGTGGTGGTAAGTTGTGAAGATTATGAAGATAGATAACAATTGACCCTTGAATTGAAGAGGTCAATATTGTAGGGTCCAGGGAGAAATCCATATGGAATACTATTCCTCAAAGTAGCAGTTCTTGGAAAAAAGCTGCATGGAATTTTCTTACAAATGGAATATGGCAGGAATGAGGGCGATTTGACTCTGTGGATGTAGCATGGTGTATCCTAGCTGTAAAGGTCTGAACTGGTGGAACTAAAGAATGGAGCTCATCTGAACATTTGTCATGGAAATAGCAATAGTCAAAAGTTTACACTGTTGCATCTTTGACAAACAGGTTATAGAGGGGACAGTAAATCATCCCTCACAAGACTGTAGAAATGATTTTAAACTCTGTCAAAGGCTGGAAAGTCAGGGATGATCAGCTTCAGCCTGGCTCACTCATAATTTTAGATATGAACAAAAATCGAGTGCAACATGTTTTTTTTTTTATTACAAGAGACCCTGAACAAAAATCAAAAATGCAACAACTGTTTTTTTTTTTTTATTATAAATATGGGTTGGTACAAGAGACCCTCTGATTTTTTATGTCTTATGAGAAATGAATATACCAAACTAACTTTTTGTGTACCTAAAATTTCAAATTTTGACCTCTTTTGAACTTCTATTTAAGCTTCAACAAACAGGGCATCCCAAATTCCATTTCAGCAAATTCCTTAAATTTAATTCTCTAATTCTTTAATTTCTAGATTCCCTATCCTGGCACTGAGGAAGATGAAAACTACGAAGATGGCAAATCTGAAGACCCCGAACTGTCGCACACAACACACATTGAACCAGTGATGATTTATTCCCCAACACCAACAATTTTGACTTTGCAAAGTCTGCAGGAATGGGCAAGCCGTAAGTGGAAAAAACAACAACGTGAGCCATTGACGATTTCCTCAGATTCTCCTTTGCCACAATCTGAAAATAGTAGTAAGCCTCCAACTCCGACATTAAGAGAACCAGCCACTCAGGAAAAAAATGGTAAGTTGAATTTTTTTTCTAATAGGCTAAAACCTTTAAGTATTGTATACCTTGTTATGTATCTATTATGGTTAATCAAATGTATTCAGAGTTCTCACAGGTAAAAAGAACACCTTTTTCTATTAAAGCGTATCAAATATATTGAGAGAACTAGCAGTAAAAAAAGAAAAAAAAAACTTTGATTTTCTATTAAGGTGTATCAAAAGTATTTTTTTATTGACTTTTTTATAGAAGCTCATTTAATACCCTTGGGAAAGGTATGAACCCTCTTCCTCTCCTCCCAGCTATTGGTAAATAGCAAGACAGACCGGGTTCTATAGCCTTGAATGGCAACTGGTCTGAAAGAAACAGCAACCTACTGCGGGAAAAAATCAGCCATGTATCAAAAGATATACAATCACCTAAGCATGTATCACACATGGCACATAACTGATATTTCATGATCCTAGCTGATCTGAAAGTTTTCAGATGCTTCTTGTTTGGTTTCATGGAGTATTGCTGCCATATATGGTCTGGTGCACCTTCTGTTTACCTTGGAGTTCTTGACAAGATCCAGAGGTGGATATGTAATATAATTGGCCCTGATCTGGCATCTCGTCTACAGTTGCTCTTTCACAGACGCATCGTCACCTCTCTCTGTCTTTTTTACAAATACTTTCATGGTAATTGCTCTGATGAGCTGCTTTCATTGGTTCCCAGACTTCATGAATTCAAGCGCCCTACGAGGCTGGCATCCCGCTCTCACCCTTTCACTGTAGAAACTTTTAAATGTAGCCGTCTCTTCTACTCCAATAGCTTCATACCACGCACCTCTCGCCTGTGGAACACACTTCCCTATTACTGTTTCCCTGAGAGCTATAATCTCCAACTATTCAAATGTAATGTCAATCGACATCTCCAGTTACCTTGATCTATCCACTATCTTTCTCCTCATCCTTTCTTCTATCACTCCTATCTGCTCTCGCTCCAAATCTTCTGCAACCCCCTGCATCCTAGTGGCTTAACGCCTTGCTCGGGGTGTAATGCTTAAAAAAAAAATCAACACTGTATTTATCAATCAAAACAAGAATGTAGAAGAAACAATCTTGTACTGAACTAACTTTGAAAACAGTGATAACACAATCAGTGTCTGGCAAATGTTTCATGAAATAGCAGCCATTTTGGAATATTTTATTTCTGCTGATTTATCAATTAATTTGTAATATAATGAAAATTCATTTAGTTTAGACAAAAATATTTTTCAAATCTTATCCTTGTCAATGCACTTAATCTAGTGGGAATATTAATCACATCAGACAAAGAGATCAATTTGGGATCAAACTTCAGCTTATAAATATTTGTTAGACTATATATTATTTGATACACCCTTATGTAAAGGGCCACTGAAAGGTTCTCTGTTGAATCCAGCTTCCAAGATATGACCAAACTTTAGAATTCCGTTTTTTTAGGTGAGGAGTCTTGGTTTGATGAAGAACTTTTCAGTTCCCTGTAAGAAATATATTACTAGATACAGCAGTGTCTTCAGCCTAATGATGAAAAAAAAAATTTACACAACAAATGTTTATTTTTCAACATAATATCTTTCCTTGTCAATGCACATAATTCAGTGGAAAATTTAAATTAGAAATAAAGAAAATTATATAGTGAAAATTTCAGATCAAAATTCAGTCAATATTTTAGGTCACACATTTATTGATCCACCTCTCTTCATATTTATATAAAATTGCCTGATAATTTGCCTTTAGAGGTTTCATTTTTTCATATTTGAAATTGCTCTGTAAATGTTTCATTAAGCTTTCTCATGCAGGTTTTACACTTTGGTCCTATTAGTTTTATAAACCAATATGAAAGTATAAACTTTCACAACTTTTTCATTTTTATAAGCAATTTCAGATTTTGACTTATACATGGGTTGCTTAATTCTTACATAAGAACTCATATCCATATTAGCAGAATTGGGAGAATTCTTCATATAGTAATATTTGACATCAGTCGCTTTCTCACCAGTATAGCATAGCTTTCTTTTACCTTTTCTATAAATATTTTCACAGTAATTGTTCTGATGAGTGTTCCTCTTTAGTACCTTGCTTTGACAAATTTAAAGGCAGTACTAGACTGGCAGATAGGTCTCATAATTTCATTGTTGAAATTGCTAAATGTAACTAATTTCTTCTGCACTTCTTTCTTCCAACTTCTTGCTTTCTCATCAATTATGATTTTCTAAAATTTATATGCGACATCAATAATCATCTGTCTCTTTGGATGCTGTTCTTTTATTGTCCTTTCTGTTTCTTTCACTCTCAGTACCCCCTTGTGTCATAGTGGGACAAAATGATTAAAAGAAAAAAAAATGATTAACTCTTTCTGTTTAATATTTTTTTTTTGTTTGTGTTGCTTAAGACTTACTACTGTGAGTTGTGGAGTTGGATTTAGTCAAATTTGAGTTCAGTTATTTATAAACAAAGACTTTGTAATAATAAGTCATCATATTACTTTTCAGAAACTGAAGAAGCTGACCAGGTTTCGAGTGGCTTTGAAGACTTCAACAGTCAGTATCATCGTTCACAGCTGTCATCTGATTTGCTGAATATGAAAAATAAAATGGAACTGGAATCGGGTCAATTAAGTGAACAGTTCAACTCAAGTGAGTGGAAATTTTTTTTGTTTCTTTGCCAACTTGCAAATCATTGATTGCAATATCCACTTAATTTTTGTTCTTTTATAATCTGGTTATGAAAATTTTGTTTATCAGCTAAACTGTTGTTACTATTCCCACACACACACATATATGAACTTTCATAAGATGTGAAAATTTTTTTTTTTTACATATTCATGATTTGTATTAATCTGTAATGATATATATTTTGATAAGTGATTATTACTGTTTGCTGTGATTATTGTATAACTCTACCTGTTGATCTAATGTAAGACTTGAGAGAGCCACTCAAGGTTAAAGGTTACTACATGAAGTGCATAATATGAATATTGGTAAAACATTGGATAGTTGCAAAGAGAGTTCTGCTCCAGTGGAGAGCCAGTAAAAGACATCATCACTCTGTTTTTTTGTTTTTTTTTTTAATTAAAGTTCACCAGTGGAGTTGTACCTAATCTATACCAATTCATTTCTTCTTTATTTTTTAATGCATTTCTATCATAAAATTAAGGGTCAGTTGTTATCTATCCTTCTTATCCTCACAATTTTCTCTTCCTTCTACCACCTCTTACATTCATATTATACACTTCATGTAGTAACCTTCTACCTTGAGTGGCTCTCACAAGTCTTACATTGGATGAACAGGTAGAGTTATACAATAATTACAGCAAACAGAAATAATTACTTTTATCAAATTATTTATCATTACAGATTAAGAAATACAAATCATGAATATGTAAAAAAAAAAAAAAAAATTTCAAATCCTATGAAAGTTCATAGGGGTGTGTGTGTGTGTGGTTGACAGTCTAGCTTTTGTAAAAAAATAATTTGTTTTTTGAGATTTGTAATCTGGAATACATAATCACTAAGAATATATGAAAAAAAACACTCCAGCTTAGAATTTTTTGAATTTTTTTTTTTTACATTTTAAGAGATCACATTAGATGAACATGTATGTTTTGACTTCTATAGGGAGAATCAATTTATAATGAATTTATATAACAAACTGAACCCCCCCCACCCCATTAACTTTTATGAAACTAAATTAATAGGAGTAAATAGGTTCACCTATTGTCCAGTTCACACTTCTCCCCAGTCTTTTAAACAGGAATAGGTTTATCCCTTGTTTCCTGTTTAGTATTGGGTTTCTGGTTCCTTCTAAAGTCTACTTCAACTCTATACTCCTAACACTGGTCCATTCCTAGACTAATATAACTCCACACAGTAACCTTCTACTTTGAGTGGTTCTTGGGCCTTGTATTGGCTGAATATTAATAAAATAAAAAATAAAAATAAATTTATTAGGAATTAAGGCAGTCATTACTGACAGTCAATGTTTTATGCAAGGATGTGCTGAAAAATTCTTGGCTTGACTGAAAAGAATAAAAAAAAAACCTCTTCATGACAGAAATTCAGACATAAAATGTGTGATAACATCAGTGAATTTTTATCTCTTTATGAAAAATGTATCCTGCTTTTTTCCAGTTACCATATTTAATTTTATCTGTTTTGTTTTGTTCTCTGTAGATATGGGATCACAGGAAGCCAAACTGTTGCAGAAGTTGAAACCCGGTGCTTGTAGCGTGCGTGAATGTAAACGCATCTTTTTACCATCTTGGTGCAGTTGTCTTGCTTGGTGCCTTTGCATTCTGATTTGTCTAGGCACTGCAAGTCTTACCATTTTCTTCGGTATTCGGTAAGTGGAATCTATCTGCAATTCTTGCATGGAGCATGTAATTCTTGTCTCTTCTGAGAATTTCTAAGTCATCTTCTAAAAACAATACTAATTTTCTGCTCCAGTTTACGATTTCACTGAAGTGCATGAGAATGAATAATTCACATAATAATTGCATTTTCTGGACAATAATGAGATTGTTAAAGTCTTTTCCAACAACCATTTACGCAGCATTCTTGTGACTGAAGTTATCCCAGGTTGTGAGCTTCTCTGATTTCTTTAACTGAAGCTAACGAGAAACTTGCAACACAAAATAATGACAAATGAAGAATAAAATTATTTGCATTATTTACCTTGTTTGAACTGTTGTCCTCATCTTTATTGTTATATTCACAACATTTTGGCCATTGTACACTCCAGCCTTCTATCACCTGAAGAAGGCTGGAGTAACACTGGCCAAAACATTGTGAATATGACAATAAAGATGAGGACAACAGTCTGAACAATGTAAATAGTTAGAATACCTCATCTCAGAAATATAGACAAATAAAGAATAAAGTTGTATTTAATAAATAAAATTAATATATTTCAAAAACCAAAATCTGTTTGTTAATGGATCCATTTAAAATGAAGTTGTACAGATGTGAACACAAAAACAAAGAACACCATTTCTGTGTAACAGAAGAAAATAATTTTTATATCCGAATTATCTCTTTTGGAACACTTTAACTGCGGCATTGTTATAGCATTGTTGCCTAGCTGTGCTGGTCCATTTCAGGGAAAAGTAATGATCAAACTTATTAGATTAATAACAACAGGATCAAATATAGATCACATATGGATCAGAATCCAACAATAGTAAGATAAAGAACAAATAAGAGATGTTTATCTAACCAGTTTCACTTTTATTAAAGCTTCTTCTGAGGAGGAGATATGGAGAAAAAGAAGAAAGAGATTCTGGTAATTTTACCTTTATGTTGCTTGATTCTCACTGGTTAGTCATGTTTTACATGCATTTGACTTATTTAACAAACATTAGTATGATTTATAGTGTTCCAAATTGAAGGCGAGATGACGAGTCCATTCAAGGCTTGAAGAAATTGATTCCAAGCCTAACTGAAAATAACAATCTACATGACTAACATTCTGTTGTCTTATGAAACAATTTTCAGTATTTGCTTAGCCTATTTTATAATAAAGTGGATTATTGGTGAAAAAAGTCTGTTTTATGTGTGATGTTAAATGCATTTCTGGTTAAATTATTTACTATAGAAATGCAGTAAAAATAAGGAAGAAAGGGATTCTCGGTGGTCAGGAATTAATTCAAACATGTATAGAGCATGGCTATTGTATAATTTTCTTGAAATGTTTCTTTCTGATAATATTTAAAAAAAAAAATCTGGCATTGCTATTATTCTCAAGTTTTTCTTTTCTTTTCTTTTTCCAAATGAACAATTCAGTTTGATTCACCCCTCCACTTTTGCACGTTGGTTGTTATTCTTTGCCTTGGTTTTTGCATGGACAGGAGATATTTGTCACCAGCAGAGCATGTACTCCTTGCCAAAATCTAACTCCAAATCATGGACAGTATATAAGGCTGGCCTATGTCTGGACTTATGCTAACCAGCATGTGTGACAGTATTACTTTGATGACCGTGCTTTCACTCTTAATATCTGACCACTGTCTAGGTAGGTTGATTTGACTTTTTGTACTATTTGCACCTAGTATTTCGTTTTCATGATAGATATTTTGGCAATGTTTAACCTTTATGCTCATGGAAATAAAATCTGTGTCAAAAGGACGGTTATTACCTTATTACTGTTTACTTGTTTGACTTGCCCATCAATGTTTATGAGATTGTAAAAAATATGTGAACCACGTACAATGCAACATTTATTATTTACCATTTTATAAAGAAATAAATTTAAAAAGGAATCATTATTTTAAAATTTATAAAAGATTATCAAAATATGTAATAAGAAGAGATGCTCTCAACTTATTTTAATGAATTTATGAGAATGAGAGCAAATGAAAGAAGTGCTGGGAAAATACATTTTTTTCAAAATTTTAATTACAGCTTCTCTTCATTGTGCTTATTTAATCTTAACACATTTTTATAAACTTAAATTATTTTGCAAATTCTCAATATTTAGTATTGTTGATGTTATCGCTAATATTTTTTGTCAAGATTTATAAACTCAACATTTCATTCAATTTCTCAAACAATTTGATGAAATATAAAAACTTAAAGAAACAATATTGCATTTTTATTAAATAAGTATTTATTTTAATCCTTAAATTGTTTTTTAAAATAGCAGGAGTATTATGTTTGTTAAATAATAAAAGTTTTAATTTTTCCAAAATATGAATGAAAATTTATTGTACTAAGCTACAAACCCTAGTAAAACTAACTGTACTTTGTAACCACTTAGCTGTTTGCACTTCTCCCCAAAATTTAGTTTTGATCAGTCAATGTAGAGCTAATTTAGTGGGTGTGACAGATGGGCAGACTAACAGAAATCACAAAATTTTATATAGAGTTCTATGAATTAAAAAAATTTTCATATTTCTTTTTAAAATGGTATAATAAATATTTCATTACAGTTGATTCAAATATTTTTATAATTTTATAAATAAGCAATCTAATAAATAGTGTTTAATATCTTTGTTGCCAATTCTCATATGTTTGGGTTTCATTAAAATTCTAATCATCACACTATTTACATTATTCGGACTATTGTCCTCATCTTTGTTGCCATATTTATTATGTTTCTGCTGTTGTATGATCTGGCTTTCTTCAGGTGGTTGGAATGTCGATTTATCCACTGTGCCATGTGTCCTCAAGGTGTTGGTTAAATCCAGTGACAGGACCCAAAGAGTGTGAGTTCAATATCCGGTTAAGGCAGTGGAGAACTTTCAGAGGGGAATTAACAGGAGATAACTGATAACTGACATCCATTAAAACATGGCATGTGGAACTAGAACAGTCTACCCCCGTGAGCGAAATAAAGGGTTCAGTTTGACTTTCCAACCATCTGTAGAAGGCCGGAACGTACAATGGCCGAAACGTTGTAATCAATATGGCGACAAAGATGAGGACAATAGTCCAGATAATGTAAATAGTGTACATAATACCTCATCTCAGAAATATAGGCAAATTCTAATCATCACTTTTTTAAAACAATAAACATTGCCAAAGAGGGTGAAACATGTATACAATAATAATAGTGATGTCAAGGGAATAACCATCCTTTTGACACACTGTATTTTTTTTTTTTTTTTTCCAAGTACAAAGGTTAAACATTCTCATTATATTTAATCAATCTATGTTACTTCTGTTCATTTTTAATCACTTAACACTGGCATGACTATACATTATACTCTTGTATAACTAAATTTATAGGTCTTAGCAAAGCTACAGCTAGAAAAAAAAAAGAACATTTTGCCTGTTTTCATATGAAATGTAAGTTTTCATTATTTTACAGCAGTCATGGTCAACATTTTCTGACCAGTGGGCAGCATGACATATGACTATTCATAAAGTGGGCTACTAATAAAAAATTTAAAGTAATTATTTGTTGAAAGTAAAGTGAACATTTTCCCTCTGGAGGATCACATACGTAAGCATCTGCCTTAGAAATGGAGAAAAAGTTGATTTTTTTTTTTTTTTTTTTTTTTTGAGAAAAGATTTCGTATAATATTATCACTGATGGCACAGTAATTAACACATGAGCTGCAAATGATTTGTTTTCATTTATTCATTTAAAAATAGAAAAAATATATCTTTTTAAAAGAAAAAATATCTTTTTAAAAGAAAAAATAGTTTTCTTCTCTAGAGAAGAAATTGATACGAAACTATTTTTATATGTATGATGTTCTTTAAAATGCTAGAAGAATATTACCTTCAACGAAAAGTTACAAAATACAAGAAACATTATACTTAATCATTGTTATGTATATGGGTTTTTAGTCAACTGTACCCAAAACACAACGGGAATTAATAAGTAAGGGAGGATACTCAGGTATTTAGTAGTTATTTCCCTTTGACACCAGCATCTCTCAAACTCTTGGCATGAGAGAGAATGTGAGTGGACAATTGAGAATGAAAGAAAACATAAAATTCTAATAAACGTTATTTTCTTCATTAAATTAAACATACTATTTAGAAGAAGAAATAAGCTACATGTGGCCTATGGACCGCTGTTTGTCCATGACTGTTTTACAGCTTTCTGTCTGCACAATAATATAAGGATCTCTGATTTTATTATGTTAACACTATTAGGCCTTAAAAGATTTAAATTTGTTAAATTCCTGGAGTTTTGATGGAGTTGTTGAAAAATTTGAATATGTGATGTTAATGCAATTAGATTGATATATCTCAAAAACTGTTGAAAATGAAGCATTTCAAATTGATTTTATATGAAGGTAAATTGATTTCTTTCAAATATCAAATTTAGCTTCCTTGGTATTACTAGTTACAAGATGCCGCTTTGGAAATTTACAACTTAGCAAAATATTTAGATTATCTGTCTTAAAAAAAAAAAAAAATGCTGTTGCACTAACAAGATAGCCAACATGTTAGAGAATAGAAATTTCAATTCCTGCATCATTATGATAGTTTCTTGTTGAGAGTGGCAAGTGTGAAGGCAGATGAGACATCAGCCAGAAATCGGGATTTAATAGTGTTTAGTAGATAGCAGACAAACTTGGGTTAGAGATGAATTCCAACCCAGGTTTGTAACAAGTGTATGAGGCAGATTTGCACTTGTATAAATAAATTATGAAGTTTTTCATGATGTCAGTGATTTATTACAAATGTGCAAAGTGATCTATCAGGGCATGTCAGAAGGAAAGGGAAATTCTAGCATATTATTTTTTACAAGTGTAAGCAAATGCCAGACAGCCATAGTGTTCAATTCATTTTCAATGAAGAGCATTGCGTTAGCAGAAACAGCTGCTGTTTGGAATTACTCTCTCTCTCAACAGTGCTCAACTGAAAAGCTTTGAGAACATAATAAGGTTATCCACACTACTGTTCAGAATTACCCTCTCTTTCTCTCAACAGTGCTCAACCAAAATTATCGAGAGCATAATAATGTCATCCACATACAGGCCTCTTTAGTGGAGACAATGCTGTTCAGAATTACCCTCTCTCTCTCTCAACAGTGCTCAACTGAAATTCTTTGAGAACATAATAATCATCTACATACAGGCCTGTTTCAGTGTATCACAGCTCATCAGTGTGGCTAAACATTGCTTCAAGATATATAAAGTAGCAAACTATAAGTGCTGGTAGTAAGAAAACAGTGGTCAATGTAAAATAACAGTGCTAAAATTTTTACTAATAATAAATATATATTTTGTTGCTCACCATTTAGTACAACTACTACAATTGATCCATGAATGTTAATGAGGCAGCTGTTGGGCACATGATGATGGCCTCAGGCATAAAACTAGGAGTTGTACTATAATGATGAGGAGCAAAATGTATATTTATTATTAGTGTGTGTTATATATATATATATATATATATATATATATATATATATTAATGTACACACACACACACAGAATATTGCACATTTACTACTGTTGCTAATAAAAGTGTGCTTATTATATAATAACAGAGCTATAATTTCTATTAATAATAGATATACATTTATTTCCTCACCAGTAGCACAACCCAATCATCAGGTGCTGATTGAAAAAAAGTAATCAGCACCTGACGATTGTGTTGTGCATGAAACTTAGTTGTGCGACTAGTGAGGAAAAAGAAATGTATCACAAAAATGATTCCTGAAACATTATGCTAAAATTGCACAATTGACTTATATAATTTAGATTTTGTTAAATATATAAAACAGATATATTTAACAAAATTTAAATTATGTAATGATCACTCTTAACTTAATACCTACAGATTGCATTGTGCATGAAACTGAGTTGGGCTACCAATGAAGAAAATATGTATATTTATTAATATTTATATACCCTGGTGAGTGAGCATGTGTGTGTCTGTGTACGTCAATGAGTATACGGGCATGTATGTTTGTAAGTATGAGTAGCGTTCTGCCGACAATTTTTCCTCCCACTTCCATAAAAACATCGATATACACAACCCTATATAAATCCAAAATTTAAAAATTAATCAGTTTGTATGACGATCACAAAAGCATGAAACCCTGGGTCACAAACTCACATCAATCCAACTATATATATATATATATATATATATATATATATATATATATATATATATATATAGTCTCATTTATCATTCTTGATAATCACTCTCCAGCAGAATCTAGTTATTAAAATCTATTGTTTTTGTTACAGATATTGTTAGTTGTTAGCTCAATCCTAAAAATACAAAAAAATATTGAACCATGGATATTTTTTCTTGCACTTCAGACTCAATTTGAAGAAAGATTAAAAGTTATTTATTTTCTTTGTTTCCATGCAGGTTTGGTTATACTAAATGCATCATGTGGTTGCAATCATTCTACTTCAGTATCATGACCTGTGCCTTTCTTACTCATCCACTTTCTGTAAGTATAAACTTTTAGCTGATTTCTGTAAAAATTAATTTTCTTTTAAGTAAAATGTCTGTTCTATGAAATTAACTTTGCTTTATTTGAATTAAATGTTTTCAGAATTTAATCATTTTTTTTTCCTAACAATATTTCAGATTCTCATTATCACGGCCATTAATGCTTACCGTTACCGTATGAATCCCGCCATATTTGATCACTATGATGATGGCTACTATGGTGAAAAACCAGAATACAGACAAAAGAAACAATCAATCTGTTGTGAGGAATGCAAGGTAAGAATGAAATGCCAAAAATCATAGTCTTCATAGTGAATAAGCTTTAGATTAGTTGTTTCATAAGAGATTGACTTGTGTTTTAAACTATATCAGTGTTTCCCAAATGGTGTGGTGGACATTAGCATACCAGGAAATGGAAAAGGAACTTGACCCTTTATTTCGCTCACTGGGGTAGACTGTCCTAGTTCCACATGCCATGTTTAATGGATGTCAGTTATCTCCTGTTAATTCCCATCTGAAAGTTCTCCACTGCCTTAACTGGGTATTGAACTCACACTCTTTGGGTCCTGTCACTGGATCTAACCAACACCTTTATCCACTGTGCCATGTGTCCTCAGTGAGCGAAATAAAGGGTTAAATTCGACATTCCAACCACCTGAAGAAGGCTGGAGCGTACAATGGCCAAAATGTAATAAATATGGGGACAAAGATGAGGACAATAGTCTGAATAATGTAAATGTTCCCGAAAACTGTTCATAACCCGAAATGTTTGTTAATCAAAACTATTTTTCCAACAGTAATCAATGTAGAGAAAAAATTCACAGTACAATAAAACTGGAAAAGAAAAGCATGTCACAAGACACAAATGTATACAACACTGTGATTGACTCAGAAATATTTAAAAAAACTCTTTACCAAACCTGCTTGCATTCAGTTTTATACAACCTACAATTCCCTGCTCCCCACCAAAAAAACTCAAAGGAATTTTTCCCCTATATAATCCACGGTTCCCAAAAGAAAATAACTGTAATTATTCACTTGAAAAACCTTCGGCATTAAATGATCCACCCGGATTGATGTGCTGTAAAACAAATCGATCAATCTTAAGTGAGGCAGAATGATTGAAAGACAATCGAAGTTTTAGAAACAGTTTCAAAAACTTCACATGCCAAAAATAAATATGATTTCAAAATTTCAGATATTATTAGGGATTACTTGTAATTGCATGCATAATTCCAAATATAAATAGTTATTGACTAATTTTATCATTGGGATATTTTTGCATTATAAGTATTAAGAATATAATAACTAGGGTCTGCAAACTGGAGGGGAGAGTTATCAATGATAATGTTCTGACTTCAAATCCATGGATTTTTCCATTTTAATCCTCTCTCTGTTTTTTTTTTTTTTTTATTTATTTTTTAATTTATTTTTAAATGTACTTTTTATCTCATAAAATTTGGTGAGGCACAAGCAAATTTTCATCCCCAAAATTCAGCCTAGAGAAAAAAAAGTATGGGAACCATTGATCTATAGTAATAAGAAGCCTGGCCTAATAACCAAAATAATACACCTTTGGTGGTGAGTAGGCTCAGAAGAAATAAAATTGTTTCATATGAGATTATGAGTATGAGACACAGGTGGGTTCTGTGGGTGTTGAATAAAAATAAATGTGATTTGCTAGCCACCTTAACAGACAAGTATACATGGATACAAGCAGACTGCTATATTTATTAGAAAGATAGTCTGATGCATATTAATTATTAGTTATATATTCATTTCTTAGCTAACATATTAGTTATTTATCAATCTAGCACCCCCACATTTCTCGAGCCTAATTATAAACATAGAATTATTAGATTCCATAAAATCTCTTGACCATGTTATCTTACAGGGGTTTGCCGCCCGGCAAAGATCACGTCACCTAAGATTTTCCAGACCTCCGCACCGGAAGCAATTGCGAGATTCCAGCAAAAAGTCCATCCAAGAGAAAAAATCTTTCTCATTCTTCAGGTAATGCCTTTTGCTATTTCTTTGCTTGTTACCTGGCACCACCTCATTTATTTGTTACATTTTGACTTTCTTTCTACATTTGTCCAAGAAATAACCAACAATTAAATTTAACTCTGTTCTTCTACTGCAGAAACAGTACCATGCTAGGTCTGATGGTTGCCATGTTGTGTATCATGGCGTTTGGTAAAGGGTCATATTCTTCATTCAGGCTCAATGATGGTCTCAAGACAACACTTTTAAGGTGAGTTCAATTTTGTTGTAACCCAAGTAACATCCTTAACTTCATAAAACAGGTAAGACTTTACATAAAGAAAATATATATATATATATATATATATATATATATATATACTAGTTTCAAGCTTTTTATTGTACTATCCTAATGGCCTGTTGATTGGGCAGTAACATAACCATTTGGAATATAACTGTTACCACCTACCTAATAACTGTTAGGATAATACAATAGACCTTGCTACCCGTAATGCACCATTGACCAACATAGATAAATAGTTGAGCCAAAATGCAGTACACATGAATATTGTGTTCAAGCTTGAAACAGACTGTCACCACTCTGTGGTGACCCCAATGTCTACTTATATATACTCTCCCACGCACAAACATATACAGTAAAATTCTTTTGTTATAAGACTCTAACCATGAAGCACTTTGTAAGGATTAAGCATTATTTACAAGATGGAGTTCCTAAAATCTTGGCTATCATGAATTTTTCCATATTCTGATATAAACAAGTGAAGATTATCAGATTTGTCTATTACTACATAGAGAACTTTGCTTAGTCTGACACAAGGCCATTCATGTGGAGCACCAGTGACAATGAAATTCACTGCATTAATCATGATTTGCAAGATGGATTAGCTCACTGCTACTTCACAGTGGTATTTTATGTCCAGAATTATAGACAAATTGTTATACTAGAACATACCTATTCTATTGTAAATAGACTCTCCCATATATAATAAGTAGTAGTAGGAGCAGTCATCAGGAGGCTCAGAGTGGAGTTTGTGAGTCAGTCGATGTCGGACATTAAAGTATCAACCACCACAACTAGATTGCTGCGTCATTAACTATTATTTCAAGTTCCTAACGTTTTGTACGTCGAACCCTTTTAGCACCGACTTAGTGAAATACAAGCCTCCACTGTGAAAACTACTCTACAACACAAATACAGAAAGAAGACAATTTACAGTTTTGCTATTCGCACAATCCTTTACAAGGATTGTGCGAATAGCAAAACAGTTATTGGCACAGAAAATCCAAGATGGAAGACTTGACTTTGACACAGTATAGTCCTTGTGATAAGTCTTACGTTCATATTTGAGAAGCACAGGAATTGTTACCCTGGTCAGCCAAACTGCAATTGAATCTTGTGTTCATTTCTGATGTGAACTTAGCAACAAATTCCTGCACTCATCAATCTGTCAGATAATGTCTTTAAGGGGCTCTTAAGACATCAGTAAATGCTTCTTGTCAAAAAGGAGATAATCATTTTCTGCATTCCTACACAAGATTTGGTGCGTAGACATTGTTCATGGAGAAAAATATTTTTTTATTTTCAAATTTCAGATCAACGTTTGTACATATACCTCTGTTTTGTATAGAGTTCAACTTTTATTTCTTTTCTTTTCTAATCAGATCTGGAAGAGAACCCTTTCTTAGAATTAATTCTCTTCAATCATGGTGGAGCTGGGTACAGAATTCCTTCTTGGATCACATGTATGGAGAAACTGCTTACTACAAACAGCCACAAAATATGGAGGTGGTGAGTCAGTTTTGTTCCCCCCCCCACTCTCCCTGCTTTGATGATTGGTCTTGCAAAATAAATAAAGAAATTTACTTATGTTATCAATTAAAGAAGGTTGCAACCCTATTATGAAAGGAACCATTTATTTGCACAATATTTTTTAACATAATCTTCGTCTCCTTATTTTTTGTCAATGCACTTAATTCAGCAGTGAATATTAATCATATAGTTCAGTTTAGCTCATATTCAGGTCAAGCTACACACACACACACACACACACACACACACACACATATATATATATATATATATATATATATATATATATATATATATATATACCTTAAGGTGTGCTATATTTATGGGATAAAGTTCTCAATATCAGAGATAGAGCATGTGTAAATATAAAAGTGAACATTGAAGTCAACACTTAGAGGCAACGGGCTGTTTCATGCTAGACTCAATCATCAAGCCTGACGATTGTGTCTAGCATGAAACAGCCCATATATATATATATATATATATATATATATATATATATAGTGTGAAACTCAGGTTTACAGACTCATATCCATACAACTAAATATGTTAGTTCTATCACTGATATTGACCACTTTCCAATAAGTACAGCACATATATAATATATATAGAAAAACACTAAATTTCACCCAATGCAGGACTTGCAAGTCACTCAAGATAGAGGGTTATGGTTTAGATGGTAATGCCAAATAAGGAGTGTGATAGAAATAGATGACAATTGACCCTTGACTTGGTGGTTTATTGATCACACACACACACACAATATATATATATATATATATATATATATATATATACTACTTCAAATGTTATTTTTAATGGATACTCATATGCCTGTATTTGAGTAGCTCCATTTTTTCTAAGCAGTGTTTATTTCATTTTGAGTGTGCAGGTTGGTAGAAAAATATCTGTCAACTGTTTTAGCAAATGACAGAAAATGTGACAGAAATCTGAAGACAAATTGGAATAGCAAAAGATGCCTTCCAAATGCTAAGCAATATATTAAGAAACAGGAAAATTTTGTCATGTGAGTCCTCGTATATGGCAGTAAATACTGGACAATTTCTTCACAGATGTGGAGAAAACTTAAGAAACCAGGTGGGGTTTCTACAGAAGGATGCTGAGAATACTATGGATGGAGCATGTGAGCAACAGGAAAGTTTTAGGGAAAACAAACAAAAAAAGCAGTGCTTATATGTAGAATCAGAAAGAGAGAGAGTGATTTGTTTTCTATGACTTATAAACCCTTAAATTAATTAAAGCCAGAAAATATTTTCAGATTGTAAGACTTCTTTTTTTTTTCTTTTTTTTGTTGAGATAATAAGCATTTAGTGATACAAGTCTTACTAATTAACCCATATCTGGGAGGGGAGACAAAGTAGATTCATACCTTTCCCAAAAGTATTTGTGCCAAAGTAAATACAGTGTAACCCGGATATAAGAGAGTTGTCGGGACCGGAGAAGAAGTCTCTTATATCCGGGTTTGGTCATTTTTATATACATTAACACAGGCTCTAATTTGGGACCAGAGAAAATTTCTCTTATATCTGGGTTTCTTATATCTGGGTTACACTGTATAACAAACCCAACTGAGATTGGAACTCTGCTCTCCACTTAACAATTCCAAGCCGTTGTCCATTACACAACATGCACATTCAAGCTTAGAACATTTGGTATTCCCAGGCTGTCACCCATCCAGATATTGACCAGGCTCAGTTTAACTTAACTTTGGTGATTGTACAGGAACCAGAGATTCAACATAATGTGGGCATAATCCTTCAGAAATGGACAGTTGAAATTTCTCAGGAGCATAAATGAAGAAAGAAGGCTTGAAGAATTTGACATTTACAGAACATATTGGAGTTCATTGGGGAAACTGAGCAACCTGTCTTTAGCTTCTGTAAATATATAGGGACGGATAGGAAATTGTGGAGAGCCATGGTCACCCACATCCTGAATGGTCATGACACAAAGAAAACAATGCATGCAAAAGAATAAAGCTATTATTATATACATAAACATTAGATTGGATGTGTAAGTGGTGTAATGGTTCGTGGCTCAGAATGAGAAATCAATTTCAGGTCAAAATCATTGACTTCAATGCAGACTGGACTTTCTGGTTGTGCTTTGACAATCAGTGTAGAAAAAGAACAACTTTGATTCTAAACTGTATGTAACCCTAGCAAAACTCATACTCGACAACCATGGCAAAGATTATAGTTTACAATTAACTGTAGTGCAAGATCATGGACGATGTTGCAATGATTGCAACAGATGTTAATGAGTTCAGTAAAATCAAAGAAAGGGATTATCAGTGCTTAGGAATTAAGGCAAGTATTAGAAAAGAGATGGCTGTTATATATGTATAATGTAAATGCATTGCTAATGAGTTTATTATCTAAATCCAAAATAATTTTTTGTTACTTAAGTATGTCTTTCTATTGCAGAATTATGTTGCTGGTAGCAGCAGTTATCTGATAGGTAAGGTACATATCCGCTCTGTCAGACAGCTCACAAAGAAATGTCAAATGTCTGAATATGGATGGCCTCAACTTTGTCCAAATTACAATCACACGCTGGATGCCTGGACCGTGAATAACAAAACAAAAGAAGAGACCAATATCGTCAAGTTACCTCATAACCGGTTAGTTGTTGATTTAATAAATAATCCAGTCTGTGCCATGTCTTTCTCAGGGGATTTTTCCACCATGATCAGCAAAATGCATTCAGATTATTATCCGAAAATTCTTGAGACCATTTATATTAAGTACAAACAGCCTCTCCACTGTAAGCAGAAGGAATGGCTGGTATGTTTAAATGTAATTTGTCTGTGATTTATACTGCTGATTCTCTGGTAGATTTTTTCCCTCTCCCCTTTTTTAGTTATTGTACATATTTTTGTCCTTGGTTGGCTCTGAAGAGTGAGGATTAATAATCACTTTTTTGTTATTTCTTTGTTTTTGTTATATTTTTCAATCCACCAATTTACAGTAATTTGTTTTTCTTATTCTTACTTTTCCCTTTTGTTTTGTAATTTACCTGAATGTTTACTAATTCTGAACTATTAATTTTTTTTTTGTGTCGTGTGAAAGGTCAAAGGCTGCTGTCAAATTGATGAAGATCAAAGAACAGAATTTGATAAATGAAAACATTGAACAAGTCATCATTGAATTCACCCTCTACAACCCACCAACTAATCTTTTCAGGTAATTATTTCAAACACTTTCCTCCACAGTCTTTTGAACAGGAGTAAAAACTCACCCCTTGTATCCTGTTTAGGATTGGCTTTCCAGTTTCTTGTAAAAAGCCTTCACATTCTCTTTCACTCTCAGTAGCCCCTTGCATTTAGTTTATCGCCTTGCTTGGAGTGAAATGATTTTTAAAAAAAAATGTTTCTGTTCGTTAAGCATTGTAATTGTCTATTGTATATTTTTAAGTCTATATTGTACATTGTGTTGTGTCTCATGGATTTTTTTGTTAAAGAAATTGCAAGTTCAGCCTATTTTCACCTCCTGCAATGCGGATATATTTCTGATCACCAAGGACTTAAAGCAGATCATTCTCTTGGAGATCTCTGAGAGGATTGTATAAAGTAGCAGACCCTGAACTTTCACCAATCATGATGGATGAGTGTTCTCTCAAGGAGGCTCCTTGCTTTGTATGTCTAGTTAGACTCAAGCTCACACCAGGCCTCAAGTTGAGCTTGTATATACAATCTATTGGTAAAGATAGTGGGAAAATAGTATCTGTAGTAATAATATATTAGTATTATTAGTAAGTATCTGACTCTCCTTGCTATTATTGTATCTTTACAAAAGCCAAATCAGACCAAAACTGGAGCATTGCCACCATATCTGGACTGGCCCTGCCCTGTCCTGACTTGCCCGTTTTAATCGTTTTTAGTTCAAAAGTGTCTAACTTGGGTGATGAATTATTCCTCTCACTACTCTGTCACTATTTTCATGGCAAGTTTTCTGACAAGCTACATTTCTTGTTTACGCCAGCCCTGACCTTTGCAGCTGACCCCCTCCATGACACATACACAAAGATGAATCTTCCTTATTCCTTTCGTATTCTATTAAATGCATTGCTAATGATTTTTACTATAAAAATGTTTTAAAAATCTTGAAAATAGGGATTGTCAGTGGTCAGAAAATATTACAAGTGTTAAAAACAAAAATAGGATTATTTTGTCTCATTAGAAAAGAATAGATTTTTGGTAGGCAACTGATTGGTTAATTAGCAGATAGGAGCTCTTTAGCCTTTGTTGTCAATATATCTAGAGATGGTGCTTTTGATAAAAGCAATACATCCTCCAGAAGCCTGGCTACTCACAGGGATGTACTGGCCTGAAAAACACAAGATGAGTGAAAATCTTTAAAAAAAAAAAATTTCACATGATCTTTTAATCTGCAACAAGTAAAATTGTGCTTAATCTCTGTGCTAACACAACCATCAATGGCTTCCAAATAGTTTCATCTAGTCAGTTTTAATATTTAATACAAAGTCATGAGTCCACACCTAATGGGCAGATTGGGGCTCTTTAGCCTTGATTGGTGACCTGTCGAGAGTTTGTATCTTGATAAAAGCACCCATCCCTCAACATTTTGTAGATGGGTAGATGAAACTGTTTGGAAGCCATTGATGGTTGTGCTAGCATAAAGTCATGAGTCCACTCCGAATGGGCAGATAGGAGCTCTTTAGCCTTGGTTAGCAATCTTTCTGGTGATGGTGACAAAAAAAAAACATCCCCCAGCAGCTGCATCACCTAGGTCAGCCTTTAAAAAATGCAAGATGATTGAAATTTTTAAGTCACATGAGTTGCGCAGTCGGACGCAGATACAGATAGCATCTAATGTTTATTCTTTGTCAACAGTCCTCTTTGATAAGGATTAACTGCAAACTAAATTGCTTAAGATGTTTAAAATGATTTCTTTAAAAACTAAGCAATGTATGTTTTGTTAAATAAGATCAAATATTTTTTTCTTTTTCAGTTCAGTCTCTTTAAGGTTGAACCTCTTAGGAACTGGCTCTGCCATCCCCGATGCTCATATTTCATGCACCCATCTTTTCCGTTATATTACTCCATGGGACAAATTCATTCTTGCTTGTGAGGTAAGTGGATTTTTGGTCTATAGGAAGACATGTTTTGAAGAATTTCCTTTCCTGAAAAGATTGTTAAAAATCTTTAAAGACATCAACCTTGAATTGCTGGTTTTGTTACAGTGAAAGTCAGGTACCAACTATCTGGAAATTTTTATCATCTGAGTCAAAATTGAAATCAGGGATCCTTTCTTGAAGGAAACAAATATACGTATACAAGATGGAATGAAAATAGTGCTATGAAAAATGGTAGCATTTAGTCACATTGACTCAAAAAAGAAAAGAAAACTGGAAACATCATCTATACATGCATATATATGTGTAAACATTTCAGATACAATATAACTGTAAAAGAACAATATAAATCAAGGAAAACTTGTCAAAGCTGATATGTTTTGTTCTCTGAGAGACTTCATCATGGTAAAAAGTCCCTCAGGGGATGAAACGTATCAGTTATAAGTTTCCCTTCTGTCTTTATTCATATATAACCATGGCTTGACTTAGCAAAATGAAGATCCAGAAGGATTCTGTTTACATCGATTGTAGGCATGTTTGTGGCTGATAAGGCTTATGCGGGACAGGCTTACACGGTTGCAGCAGTTGACCTGGGCTCAATAGCATAGTGTTGCAGTACATCCTCCTCTCCCTGTTGTCCTTGAGAGTGGCTCTGTCGATATTATTAAAGGAGACAGCATGGTTGGTGGTGAGATGCAGGGTGTCATGGTTCTCGTCTAGAGTGGACCATTGGCAGCTGAGTTGTTCCACTTGCTTTTGTCAGATGAATGAATGCTACATACAGCCCTTTGGTTTACTCCCGACATTTCTCCTGCAGCTGCCAGAGAACAAACACCATGTCTGTTGTGCTCCTGTTGATTCTGAAGCCTCACTGAGTCTCTGGAAGGTGCTCTTCAACAATGCTGTGTACCAGTCTGTTCAGCAGGATCATTGGAAGAATTTTTCCTGTGATGGAGAGCAGAGTAATTTCTCAGTAATTGGAGCAATCATATTTTTCTCCTTTGCACAAGTAATGATGATTGCATCATGGAGATCTTGTGGTAGTTTACCCTGCATCCATCAACAGCAAAAGAGCTTGTGGAGTTTCATATGCAACACTGCCCTGCCCCCATTTCCAGATTTCAGATGGGACTCCATCACCTCCTGCTGCTTTGCCACACTTCAATGGTGGGCAACTCCTCTAGTTTCATTTTTCTGGTTGTTGGGGAATGTGGAGAATTGCTGGTTCCTGTACCAAGTGATTGGCACTGAAAAGGGCCTGGAAATTCTCTGATCAATGGTTTAGGATAGACACCCTGTTTGCAAAGAGCATCTGTCTGTCTGCACTGCACATAGGACTCTGGACATGAGACTGTACACCACCTTTAAAGCTTCATAGAAGACCCTGATGTCTCCAGTGTCTGGGTTTTTCAGCAAGTTTGATCCACCACTTGTTCTTAAACTCTCAAAGTCTACACTGGAGGTCATATCATATGAAACAGAATGCAGCTTTCTTTACAGAACAAGCTGGCTGAGCTAAGTGGGCCTGATTTTAAAAAAAAAAAAAAAAAAAAACATATCCTTGATATTGGCTAGAGAAGTATCCGAAAATGCTCTGAACAATTATAACTATGATGGACAATTCCTATATTCTTTAACAACTGAAAAATGGAAAAATTTTAGAATAACTCAATAAAAGATTAATTAAATCTTCCTTGTTGGACATTTTCAATGAAAGATACTTGAAAGAAAGGTTGCCACTCAAATACAGCACTACTGGTATGATGTAACCCAATATTACCGGTTTCATAGTCAGATTATCAGTGACTAAACCAACTATGAAACAGGTAGTACTGGGTTACATAGTACTAGTAGCACTATATTGATTTGTATTTGGGCAACAACCTGTTGACAGGTTTTCAAGCTTGGAAGCAATAGAATCCCTGATTATGAGACTTATGCCCAAAAACATCTATTACTGAATTGCCTTACCAGTAGAAGGTATATCTGGCACTATGCTTTTGTAGGCTGCCTTCCTCTGGGAAGCAGGGTTCACTGAGAGCAGTGATGTCAACATTTAGTCTTGGCAGTTCTTTTGCAATTAGTGACATTTTGTTCGACTACTGTTGGAGTATGTGTGGTGGGGTTGTATGCTTTTTTGGCAGTCATGTGCTATGTACAGCTGGTTGACCTGGACATCACTTCTATTTTTAGAACACTTTTAACATGCTGTTTCCACTGCTAAATAGTGTAAGATATATATTGAATTTGCTTTTTCTATAAATATTGTCATGGTAATTGTTCTGATGAGCTTTCCTTTTACAAATTCAAATGTGTTACTAGATCGGCAAAGATTTCAAAATACAACACCTGACCGACAAACTGTTTGTATTCTGGTACACTTGCATGTCTTTTAGTCTACTAACTGGTGTGTCTACTTAAATTTATATGTTGGTCAGTCTATGAACTTTCCAGCTAACCCTTGTATGCGTTGGAAGGAGAGGTGCAGTATAAAAAACACAGGTGTTTTTCATAATTATGCACAAACAGGAAACACTGAAAATGTTGGAAATTTTAAACCTTAATTTATTTTTTATTTTTTTTAGATGAGCCTGCTCATGTATTCTAGCCAATTTCATTCAGTTTTCTTATGCTTTTGTTTTTATTAGTTTTATTATGTATTTCACATTGTGATATTAGAAGATCTGCAAAGTAATGTGAATGTTTCAAAAAAGCTGGACTCAAATTTGCTGTTGATGATCTAGCAATGAAATCACTTTCTATACACTTTCACATTAATAAATAGCATTCTCTTTCAATTAAAGTAATTTTTTAAATCAAAATTATGGTCAGACTCATTACAGTGAGCAACTATTACATTGAATGTATTGTTTTGTGAAAGATCTCTTCTGTGTTTGTATAACATTTATTAAAATTCCTTAAGGTTTCACCTATATGTCCCTTGTGGCAATTATTACAGGTGATAGAGTAAATTTCTCTTTCACTTTTAGCCTATTATTTTGTCTTGTATTAAATCTTTTATTGTTTTAATAGTAGTTGTAACAAATTTTATGTTAAATATAATTAGTGTAAATAATGGTAACTCCTCATCCCAGAAATTCAGACATTATTCCTAACACCAAAATAATTCCTCAGTTATTCACCTTTATCCAGTCTTCTAAACTTCCTGGTTTTTCTTTTGCAGCTTCTTTTTCTTGTGTTGATGCTATTCAGCTTGAAGAATGTCTTTGTCGACACAATTCACTACAACAAAAAACTTTTCAAGCACGCATGGAAAGTCTTGGATGTAAGTGCCATTTCTTATTAAAATCTTTAATATATTTACTTGATATTTCACCTTTCATCCAGTTCACATTTTTCTCTGTATTTTTGAACAGGAGTAGAGGTTTATCCCTTGTTTTCTGCTTAGGATCAGGCTTCCAGTTCTTCCTAAATTCTACTTTAATACTATGTACTTCTAACATCTCCACCTAAACTCTGAAATTTTATTTACTACTAGCAGTAGAGCCCGGCGTTGCCTGGGGATGTAACAGTAAGAGATAGATCAAATATCAACCATCATGAAGACTGAAAAATAAAATTGACAAAGATTATTGTTTAAGGTTGACAGACACGCATGTCTTAATTAGTTTTTTTTTGTTTTTTTACGAATTGGTCAAACCCAAACTCAAACAAAAACATTGTTTTCAATCATTATGAGTCTACCGATTGAATAGAATTTTATTATAAACAATTGTCTTGTAAATGGAATTTTAAAGCATTCTGAATGTAAAAATAAAGAAAAAAAATTGTGCAAGACAATAAGAAACACTACCTGCCAAAAAAAAAAAAGTGAAGTTTTGTTGAAATCTGTTGAAAAATGTAGGAAATCCCATATAAACGAACACACGACACACACAAACAACCTGGGTTTTATAATAAGTATAAACAAACAGCAGCTTATGCCTCTTAATTTTTTTCAAATTGATTTTGTTGCAAAAACAATTGTGTTTTTCCAATTTTGGTGCTGTCAGAACCACTGCAAGGTAATTTTACCTACTCCTGTGAATTGTTGAAAAATCTGTCCATCCAATTATATAAACGTCATTCTCAACAAACACAAGCTGGGTTTTTTATAATAAGTATGATTTATTTACAATTTTTTTCTTTCCTAATCGTGTTTTATGTTCATCTATGATTTTGTGCTTTTGAAAAACAATTTTATCCCTTGTTTTTCCAATTTTGGTTCCTAGCTCCCTGCATCTTAATGGCAACCACCTTGCTTGGGGTGAATAAGATCCCAAATTCCTTCATTATTACTTATATAACCCCTGAATTAAACAAATTGAAAATTTTCATCACACTGTCAGTGGAGTTTAAAAATCCTGCAGAGAACAAAATTATTAAAAATTAACTGCCTTAACAGTGCAATATATATAAATGGCTGACATTTACTTATTCCTAAATCAAGTAAATGTTCAAATGTAAATTAAAGATGTTAACATTCAACACCACTTCAAATAGAAGATTCAAAAGGAAACCCCCATCAGTAATGGAAAGAGTGATAAAAGCTACTAGACTTGAGAAACTTAAGAGAAAGATTTAATAAATTTCAATCGAAAGCCAACTGTTTCTTTGTAGGGAAAACTGTTTCCTTATAGGGAAACAGTTATTATTACCATTATTTATTTATCTATTTATCCCCAAAGGAAATGCTTATAGACAGATATAAATGGCCATTATTTACCTATCCTCAAACAAAGAAAATGCTTATAGGTTCAAATATGAACCACTAATATTTACTTATTCCCAAACCAAGGTATTGCTTACAAACTCAAATAGAAATTACCAATATTTACCTATTTCTGAACCAAGTAAATGTTTATAGACTTAAATATAATAATAAAAAAAAAACTGATTTTGTCATTAAATAACATAACAAGGATGGATACATCATAAAATCTTGCAACTTAACCCAACCCCAAATTTTCATTGACTCACATGATTACATATAATGATATAGCAAAGACTAAAAGCATATATTGAATACATTATATAAGCATTCATTGGAAATTATTTTACTATAGCAATTGCATTGCAATTGATTTTTAATACAATCTGTTTATGTAACTTGTGATATCATGTGGAGAATTTATTAAATACATGTATCAAGACTTTTATTACTTCTAATGATTGTGTATTTATTTATTTTTATATATATATATATATATATATAATATATATATAGCAAATATTAAAGATATGTAGAAATACATTGCAAATTAAAAGAATTTGTTGCAAATTATTTCACTACAGATTTTACACTGCAGTTGATTTTAATGGTGTTTATGAAACCTGTGATATCACAGGTAGGGTTTATGTTATATCCCAGATTGTTGGGATAAATAAAAATGAATGAAAATAAAAAACAACTGTATTTTAACACCTAAATAAACTTTTATTCATTAACTGTCTGAGAACAGCAAGCAATGTATAGATCAAAACAATGAATTCCATGTTGAGGTCAGCTGGTCACCATGTTCAATTCAAAAGTGGTGCCCTCATCTTGACAGACAAGGGAAGTAACTCAATTGTATTTTGAGCTATCATCCTTTTTAATGGAAGGAATTTAGCTTCCCCTAACAGTATATTACATTAAAACTTATTGCAAAGGAGGTACTTCTAAGGAGATTATGAATTAAAAATAAACTGCTGCTAAAAATCTGGAAGTGACAATAATTAGGACAGTTTTGAGAACTTTACACTCACGGGGAATTATGAAGACAAGGGAAACAGAAACTGTAAGCAACAAATTTGGCAAGTTTTGTGCAAATGGGTGAAGAAGTAACACAAGGAAAAACAGGGGTCAGAACAGAAAAAAAATATGAGAGCAACAAAAGATAGGAAGCTGTGGAGAGCCATGATCAACTACATCCTGAAGGGACATGACACAGAGTTAGGATATAAACAGTTAAGTGTGAAGATATGTCAAAATTTGTGTGACTTGTGGTTTTTCTGGACATAAAAAAGGAGGAGAGAAAAAAAGAAACATGGGTTTTATATGTCATCAAATACAGTATTAAAAGTATCTAAGAAATTGATTATAAATAATTTTACTATAAAAGCACATTGCAGTTTTTTTCTGTCGATGGTGCTGGAAACTTAACATCAAATGACTGATTTTTAACTGGCTGATCATGACTGGAGGGAAAAGGGTGATCACCAACCCCTGTAGAATTAAATAAAAAAATACAAGATATAAGAATGTTGAAAGTCAAACATCTGAAAGCTCAGCATAGAAATAAATGTTATATCGATGCTATTAATAAATAGAAATGACAGCAAAGTTTAACAACAGCAGCAGTGAAAAAAGAGAGGCCACAGTAGAGAATGACAAGCAGCAACTGTGTCAGCAGCAGGTAGATCATTATGTTTAAGCTCCTAAGTTCTGTAAATTTCTTATGCCAGAAATTAAATAGGAAATAATTTTACTCTAGAAATGCAATAACTAATAAATAATATTTTCCTTTTAACTTGAAACAGTTTGATTTATCAATTCTTTATTTTTCTATAGATGTCCATCTGCCTCGCTTCCATCATATATATAGTGTGCTATGTCTATAGATTTGTCTTGGTATCAGAAGTGATTGAAAATCTCCGAAGTACATTCTATCAGGAATTTGTGGACATTTCATTTGTTACATTTTGGGATGAGGTAAACTTCTTCATTTTTTCCTTATTTTTTTTTCTGCATTCTGCTGATCTAATTTCTGTTCTTAAATATGCTATCATAACACAGCAAAAACTGCACATCACAGCAACATTTTTGTTAGGGCAATACCATTAAAATGCCCTAACTAGAAGAAAGAAGCAATTTCCACTCTAATTTTCAAGTTAATAATGGGTAAGGGTTTGTAAGTCCAGATAATAATAACATGTTAAAAAAACACTGAAAAGAAAATTGTCAATATTGAAAGAGTAAATTAAATGATTACTAATTGCTTAAAATAGCGATAACTTTATTTTCATTACATAAATTTACAGAGAAATATTACAGTAATATTTTATTGTTATTTCTCAAGTATAGTTTTGTATATAAGTTATGAATCCTTTCATTTCATCTTTCATCATAAACATTTCTGCACTTGATTAACAAAACAGCTTTTTTTTTCTAAATTGTAAGTATATATGTTTGAAAATCATTTAACACAAGCTATCTACTGATTAGTAATTAGTCAAAAAAAATAATGAATAAGGTTGTGAGATTAAATTCTAAACTCTTGCCAAGCTTAATTTAATCTGCTCTGAATAAAGTGTTAATTGTATGAATTTTTTTTATAAGGTTTTTATTTTTGAATTCTTTTAAAATTTTTATTTCTTTTTAGATCTTGAAATCCCAGTTGGGGCTTGTTCTTTGTTTGTCCATTTTCAAATTCCTCTCCTTATCCCGCTACAAGACTTTATTTGCCATGCTAGAAAATGTCTACAAAAGAGCTACCACTGAAATTATCATTTTTGCGGTAAGTAATTTTCTCAGTGGCGTGGAGTTAGCTTGATGATGACAAGCCCAGCAACAATAGAGTTTTTAAAAAAAAAAAAAAAAGTACCACACTCTTTAATAGAAAAAAAGAGTGAGTGCAAAAAAAAAAAAAATTATGGGCAAATCATGCTTCCATATCTACCCTTTCTGCTTAGGAAGTTGCAGCTGTTACTCTTATACTCAACCTTGATTGGAGCCACTGGACTTCTTGATTTTATTTCTTTTGGGGATCTGTTTCTTTTTTGTTTGTTTGTTTTTTTTGGGGTGGTGTGGGTTCTTTTTCCATTTCAAAATAGTATCCTTGGTAAGATAAGCTACATCCGGCAGCAAGGCCTCTGATCAGGAAGTTTTGAGAGCGTGGAATCGCCTCTTAATTGCTGGTATTTCCAGGTCCACCCTGAGCAGGGTTGGTGGCACCTGTTAGGGTCCCAGCTATGAGCAAATAGTTAACTCCCAAACTGGGGTCAAAACACTATAAAAGGGTAAAAATAGGTTTTAATACTAGCAATGGATTTTTGAAGGAAAAAAATATTGCCAGCAATAGATTTTTTAAGAAAAAAAATATTACTAGCAATAGATATTTGAAAAAAAAAAATTAGCAGCAATACATTTTTGAGAAAAATATTACCAGCAATAAAAATCTTGTCAACATTGAATAACCCATTGTAGTGTTGATATGCCATAAAACAAACCAAATGAAACCATTTCAAAATATCAAACAGCTTTTCTTTTTCAAAGATTTCTTTTTTAAGAAAAAAAAAAAGAAAAAAAGCAGTGTTTTCATTTAATTAAAAAAGGTTTTATTTATATTTCACTTAATTCATTTTATTTATTTTGAATCATTTTGAAGAGAAAATAATCACAATCAAATTTTTCTTGACTTGTTTGGTTTTACTTTTATTGTATATTTATGAGATTTTTATAGTTGTTTTTTTAGTCCAGGGGTCGTTAAACAGATATAAATACAGGGTATCCCAAAATAATGTATACACTCTTTGAATTATTATAATTTATTCAATTTATGTATTTTTAACTGTTTGACCTTAAATGATCTCTTGCTGATCAATGGGTCATTAAGTTTTAAACAAACAAACAAATCAATTTATGTATTTTGACTTGTAAATAAGATTAATACAAGAGAAAGAATATGCATTTAAAGAATTTGAGAGTAAAATATACAAAAACCTAGAAAATTAACTTTAATAATATAAAAGCTACTTGGGGCAATGGCAGAATGTTCATATAATGATGAGTTCACATCAAGTGCTCAAACTGGTTTCCATTCTGTTCAATACACTTTTTATATCTTGAAGAAATAGACCTACAAACATCCAGTATCATTTCCTCAGGTATTTGAGCCCATTCTTCTTCAATAGCTACTCTCATTCAGTAATTGTTTCAGGTTTCCTGCTGTAAACTTTCTTTTAGAAACCCCCACAAAAAGAAATCCACAGGTGTCAAATCTAGTGATTTAGGTGGGTATTCAACTGTCCCTCTTCTTCCAATCCATCTGTTTTGCATATTCTTATCTATGTTCTCACATCATGGTAATGTATTATTAACTATTAATATTTAAAGAGTGTATACATTATTTTGGGACACCCTGTATTTTCCTGATGTTGTATTTAAGTTCTTGAGGATTCTAGGTAAGAGGGAGGCAAAAAGGCAGAATAAAGTTCCACAAACAAGAAATGCAAGAAAAATAACTATTAAATAGAAGTTTACATCTAGCTATTCTAACAGTAAAACAATAAGATCTAGTTACCAGTCTAGTACTATGTCTAAATTTATACTGTTGAGGTACCAAGGAGAAGAGCTCATTAAAACAAATGCGATGAAAATATTTTCTAACAAAGTATCTGTTTAACAACCTCTGGACATATGACCAACCAACAAGAGTGACTCTTACCACCTGAGGATTATGAGACATCAATATCTAAGTGTAAAAAGATACTCCGTTCTTTAGCATAAGAAACTAAGTATCCCATCACTCATACAGCTATAGGAGTTGACATTCCGTTAAATCCAACATCCATCCAACTCATACAGCCTGAGGATTATGAGACAACAGCATCAACATCTAAGAGTCTACATGAAACTTTAATTTGAGGAAAGCAGTCACATATGAGTATTTTACATATATATATATATATATATATATATATATATTTCTACTCCATAGCCTTTAGAATCACTTGAAGTATAACCACTGCTAAGGATAATACAATAAACTGTGAATACCTGATAATAGTTAAGCCATCATATGACACACACATGGCCTGAAGATTGCATTCAAGCATGAAACAGACTGTCACCACTCAGTGTTGACTTCCATGTCCACTTTTATAATTATATACACCCTATCCCTGATATTGAGCAATTTTACCCATAAATATAGCATACCGTAAAACTATATTTTTATCATGCATATAATTATATCCTTATTCTTAACTATAAGATTCTACTCAATTATTACCCAGGATTCCCTATTTTTCAGTGGCCATTTCACATATCTCTCAAAATCACTCAACCAGGAAATAAAGAACCTCAGATTTGATCAATTTTGTTTATTTCTTTGATGAAGCCATTTTATGCCTTTAGTTCCCCACACATGAAAATACTATCTCCTGTAGTAAAAGACATTTCACATATCTCTTAGCTATTCCAACATTAAAACAATCTAGTTGTCATGAAATGAAGAAACTTACAAGGTTCTTTATTTTATTTCCCTGTTGTCCAGTGGATCAACTATTTTAATTTTCTATATAATTTTTTTTTCTTTCTTTGAGAAAAACATCCTTAAGTTCTTTGAACCTTTTAGTAGCAATTCAGACCTCTTTACTCTGGGTTTTAGCCACCATATTGTTTTGAGCATTTTTTTCTTTTCATTTCCTCTATTCATGATTGTTATTGGTTTATCTTGTTTTAAAATCTCAATACTGATTTATATTTTTTCTTCAGGTTTTCCTGCTGGGTGTCATCACAGCTTACACTAGCCTTGGTTACCTGGCATTTGGTTTTTTAGTTGGTAGCTTCAACAACTTCTGGACAGGTTTTGTTTCCATGGCAGCATTACTTACAAGGAACATTGAATTTTCTGAGGTTTACTCAGATAAGAGTTTGCCAGGAAAGCTCTTCATTGTTGCTTACCTTATTACTGGCGCCGGACTTTTCTCAGCTTACGTGAGTATAAAATTAATTTGGTCTCTTACTTATATATATATATATATATATATATATATATATATATAAAAATTGATTTAAAATATGGTTTTTTCAAAAATTTCCATTTTTGAAACATGGTTAGAACTGTGTAGCAGAAAAAAACATTTTAAATCAATTAATTTTAAATATTAATGCTCTGTAAATTTACATTGAGCACTATTTTGTAAAAATAAAAATATCTATAAGAACACCAGATTATATATCTTACTGTTCTTTCTTTTTATTTATATATACATATATATATATATATATATATATATATATTTTTAGTGGATACCCATATCGGAGTACATGCTCTGATTGTTTTTTAAACAGTATTTTATTTTTGTCTACCGGCGTGAGATTTTTCTTAATAATGAGTCCAGTAGATGTAAAAAATAAATAAAAGATTAAATAAATGGAGGGTCTACTCAAATATGGGTATCCACTAAAAATAACATTTAAAGTGATAAAAATGTAAGGTTAATAAAAATGCATTACTCTTTCTTTTTTTCTGCTTATATATATATTCTCATTGTCATTTTTGTCACACCTTTTTGATTGTTTTTTTTATCATGACTTCATATTGTTTAGTATCTATTTTTCCATCTGGGAAAACATCACTCAACACAACCTTCAATAGCAGCAAATAGTTAATGAAATCCTCACTTTCAAACTCTGTTTTATGTCCCTATTTAATTTACCATATTAATAACGTTTTTACCTTCGCTGAAAATGCTTTGCTAGAATTGGATTCAAGATTTCTTTTTTATCCCACCAGATCTTGGCCATTCTATCCTCCAACCATACATGTTACAAGCAGAAGAGAATTGGTGCCTTGAGTCTACGAGAATCTCTGATCTTTGTCTGGCAGAAACTGCTCACCTGGACTGGGTGGAAAAGTGAGACTTTCCCAGCAACCGGAGACCCCAGTCTACCAGCTGTAAGTCATTAGTTCTTCAAAACTTTTATTAAACGGCCTATTAAGTCTACATATAACAAACACACGTAGACCATCTTTCATTTTAATCGCATGCATACATTATATATATATATATATATATATATGAATCATCTTCAAGAAGCGAGAACAAGATCTAAAATGTCAGCTAATCTAACAATGATCTCATCTCAAAATCCTCACTCTTGCTCCATATGTGGCCTCCTTTGTAAATCACTAGTGGGTCTTAAGTGCCACTTAAGATTATCGCACAAAATTTCATAACTGAATCAATTAAGCTGTCAGATCCTCATACATCAAAATCGATGGGAGAGTACATTATTATATATATATATATATATATAACAACAGTCTTTTTCATGCTTGAACACAATCTTCATGCTTTAATGTTATATACCGTACCTATGAACGCTAATCGGTATGTCCTAATCCTCATAAATACGTTGGACACTATTGTAAGTGGTGATAATATGCTGTCTAAGTAGTCCATCACTAGCAGTGGTTTACCTACTTCACGCCGCTGGCAAGTATTGTATTTTGTTGATGTTATAAAGATTACCATTTCATTTCCAACCTCTGTTTTGGTTATTCCTCATTCAGTAACCATTTTTATGTTACAACACTTGAAGATTGCATTCAAGTATAAAACTGACTGTCGCTATTCAGTGTTGACCTTGGTGTCCACTCTTGTATTTACGCACACTCTCTCCTGGATATTGAGCACTTTTACCTCACAAATATGCCATACCTTAAAACTATATTTTATAATTTTCTGTCTCTCTCTCTCACACACACGATAAACTACATCCAACAGCAAGGCCTCTGTTCCCAGGTCCACCCTGACTTGGGGTGGTAGCACCTGTTAGGGTCCAAGCTATGAGCAAATAGTTAACCCACTAACGGGTGTCAAAGCGTGTCAAAAAAGGTTTTAATACAAGTAAAACATTTTTGTAAAAAATTATTACCAGAAATACATTTTGAAAAAAAATATTACCAGCTATACATTCATTTTTTATTATTAATATTATCAGCTATAAATCTTTTTGAGAAATATTACCAGATATACATATAGATTTTTGAAAAAATATTACCAGCAATAAACATTTTGTCAGCATTAAATAACCAATTGAAGTTGATATGCCATAAAACAAACTGAACCAAACCACACACACACTAGTCTTTTCTTCTATATTCATGGGAGAAACGAGCTCAATAACAAAGATAGAGCATATATAAATATAAATAATGTGGACATAGGTATCCACACTGGATGGCGACAGTCTCTTTTTATGCCTAAACACAATCATCAGGTCATATAAATATATGCACATAACTACTTTCATCCTTTCTTATCTACCATATTGTTTGTTTCAGGAATTCACTCTAGCTGAGATTGAATACCAAGTTGATGAACTGCTATTTCATATGAATGCCTTGCTTGGTCTGTCTGGAATGCCAGAGAAACCACTCTACTATCTCACAGATTCAGATACCTCTTCAGATGACCGTGTAGGAGATGATGGGATATCAAGTGGTGGCTCAGAGGTAAGCAATACTTTGATATTTTCAAATTCTTTTTGACCAGTTTAGAGATTTTGTACTGTCTACCCCACCTACAATGATGCCATTTATACCAAAATATATAACATCTATAATAGATCATCTAAAAACTATATATTTATAAAACATGTTTGCTCTGAATGTATAAAATGATGTACAAAATATATATAGAGGGGAGTTTAAAATTGCATTCAAAATATCTGTAGATGAAGGCATCAAATTGTGTCCAAAATATCTGTAGTTGAAGGCATCAAATTGTGTCCAAAATATCTGTAGTTGAAGGCATCAAATTGTGTCCAAAATATCTGTAGTTGAAGGCATCAAATTGTGTCCAAAATATCTGTAGGTGAAGGCATCAAATTGTGTCCAAAATATCTGTAGGTGAAGGCATCAAATTGCGCTCAAAGTATATGTAGGTGAAGGCATCACATTGCGCTCAAAATATATGTAGGTGAAGGCATCACATTGAAAATATATGGCATCACATTGAGCTCAAAATATATATGTAAGTCAAGGCAAAATATATGTAGGTGAAGGCATCACATTGCGCTCAAAATATATGTAGGTGAAGGCATCACATTGCGCTCAAAATATATGTAGGTGAAGGCATCGATTTGTGTACACAATATTTAGAGATCAGAATTAAATAACCTATAGAAGTGTTGATATGTTGCTAAACTAAAACAACCAAACCAAATCAAAGGGTAAAACAAAAAAAAAAGGTAACAATACAATCTTTTCTCCAGAACTTCCTGTCCTTAGTCATGTTTCTGTTATATCTCCTTATCTCTGTACTGCCAACCATTTACACAAGCTTGTTAGGGAAGTTATGCACTGATTTTCCTCTGTCACTGATGATTATAAATAATTTATTGATGTGATGTAAATTTTAAAAATCCATCAAATTTTGTTAGTTTTGTGAAAAACAGAATCTCTTTTAATATAATTGTATAAGTTATATTATAAATTAAAATCATATCTACTTCTGCTCCTAAATTTTAAAGGAAAAATAATAATTTATAATAGAATTAAACATTGAAAGCTGTCAAATTTAATCTATAATAGTAAAAGAGCTCTTTCTCTGTTCATCACACACTGTGTGTGACTTTGTATATGCATAGGTCTGTGCTGTAGGCTTGAATGCTGTAAAGGTGCTTGTGCCATTTAATACATACACAATTTAACTGCATTTACAATAAGAAATTGGAATAATATATTCCCTGTTCACTCAGTCTGGACAATTCCTATCCTAGACTGAGCAATAAAATTATATATTTGGATATCAGGAAAAAAAAATTAAAACTTATCCACCTCATGTGTCTTTGCTTAAAAGTGTGTGTGGTTGTGAAATAACTTCACTTTCTCTGACATATAGAGCTTTTGTATATTATTGTCAATTACTTCACTTAGTCTCTGTCTATCATATATCAATTTAAACATAGATATTTATTCATACTTAGAAGCTGGCAGTGTAGAGATTGCCATAAATTTGATGAATTGATTTTTTTATTATCTATATGTATAAATGCAAAATTGTAGCACAATTCTCCCATGAATTCTGGGGTTAAAAAGCCCCAAGTCTTCTTTATAAAAATTTACACATCGTATTTACATGGAACACGTGGAACTAGAACAGTCTACCCCAGTGAGCAAAATAAAGGGTTCAGTTCGACATTCCAACCACCTGAAGAAGGCTGGAATGTACAATGGCTGAAACGTGATAAATAATGCAACAAAGATGAGGACAATAGTTCGAATAATGTAAATAGTGTACATAATACCTCATCTCAGAAATATAGACAGCAACTTATTTGTTTGCATCTTGCTTTTAATGATTCCATCATGGTATATATCTCAGTCCACAGCTAGAAACTTGAGACAGTGAAGCTGTTCAAATACCTTGGGGTGATCATCAGTGACCAAGGATCAAGACCAGAAATCCTTGCAAGAACTGCACAAACTATGACTGCACTGTCTAAGCTGAAGATCATATGAAGAGGTAGCACCATCTCTGGGCAGTACAAAATCAGGCTCCTGCATGCACAGGTCTTCTCTATATATTCCTGCATGCATGCGAGATATGGACACTCACAGCTGAGCTACAAAGAAAGAAATAAGCACTGGAAATAAGTTTCTATGGTACCATCCTGAGTATCTCATCACTGATGATCAGGTTCACAGTAAAATACAGCTGCACATTGGGCCCCATGTAGACCTCACTTCAATGAAAAAATCATGGAGCTGAAATGGTATGACCATGTAATATGATCAGATGGTCATCCAAAGACACTTCTTCAAGGAACTGGTTGGACATAGAAGGATGAGAAGAAAGAAGAAAAAGTGGAATAATAATATCAAGAAATGGATAGAGAAACAATTCATTGAGACCCTGGTTCTGGGGCATGACCACAACAGATGGAGCAGATTGGGGGACAGTTCAGCACGTAGGTGCCCCAATGACTCCTTTCAGGGTTAAAAGCAAAAGCCAAGCCATTAGAAATAATTTATAAAATTCAGAAAAGAACTTGTTTAATTTAAAAATATGAAAATAAATATCAAAATCTGATTGATTGATTTTTGAATGATTTTTCTAAGAGTCTAAATAAATAGTATATTTTATGTAATATAAATCATAATGAAAATTATTTGCGTTGCATCTTCCTTTTAAGGCTAGGATAAGGTCCCATGCCTTGAATGGTAACCTTCCTAGAGATGGTGCCTCAATAAAAACACTTGGTCTACTTGGACTACCATGAGTGTCTGAGGTGGGCAGCAGGAAGAGATTCTGGTCTTGTTAAAACTTTGCCTCAAATCTTTATAACAAATCCTTTGTCAGTCAGGACCCACCTTGCTTTGTGCAAGATTAATTCCAGTTCTGCTTCATCAAAATAGCATGGCTGCATACATACATACATACATACATACATACATATATTATATATATATTATATATATATATATATATTCCTTTTACTTGGTTGTATTATCAAATAATTTATAGGATTAAAAAAATGTCTAAAATCCTAACTACTTCTGTCACACATGCTTCATAATAATTTAAATTTCTTACCCTTTTACTATTCCATCAAGAATTTGGTCATTTTTTTTTTTTTGTGATGTTCCTGATGTAGGTTTCTTTATTTTTTTTCAGATGCGGGGTGAATTACACTCTGATGATCGACTGGAAATGAGGGTGCAGAAAATTGAAGAGAATCTTTGTTCTAAAGAGCCATATTTGGCGCCTTTGATTAAGGGACAAACTCTGGATTCTGAGATTTTGACTCCAGAAGAAGAGAAGGAACTTAGGTGAGGCAAGAATAACACGTTTATGTGATTTGCACATGCGCACACAAAACACACACGTGGTTTGTCCAGATTATACCCAGCCATTTTGGATCTCTCTAAAACCAGTTTTCCAGTCTTTATTAAACTTGAAAAGTAATGCAGACCCTTGTGAGCCTGTACAAACAGATACTCTCCTTTGGGGTAACTCAGTAGTAGTATTGAAGTATAACAGACCATGCCATTTATTATGACAATGCTGCCTGTGCCTGCTTTTGATAACACATGCACAGTTTTTTTTATGGCAAAACATTACATCAATCCCAATCATCTAGATTTAGCTACTTACAAATCTCTAACTTTTCCCAGAGTTAATCACCATTGAAAGAGAGATTTCAGACTGTGGGCGAGATTAAGGAGAATATGATGAGGCAGCTCATAGCCAGTATTGAAAGAGAACAAAACATGAAAGTGATGCTGTGAGAAGTATGTGTGGTCCCAATGAGAGTACTTTGCTGTAAGGCTTACGGCCATATCATGTTGAAAGACTGGTTTCTGTACGATCACCAAAGTTAAGCAACATTGAGCCTGGTCAGTATCTAGATGTGTAGATGGTGTAAGGAGTAATGGCTCAGAATTGTTAATTGAAGAGCCAAGTTCCAATTCCAGTTGTTTGTTATATTCTTTTAAGTGCAAATACCCTTGAGAAAGGTAGGAATCCCCCTCTCCTCCCCTCAGGTATGGGTTTAATTCATAAGATTTGTATCACTATATCGTTATCTCGAAAGAAAAAAATTAAAAAATTATTTTCTGGCTTTAAATAGCCTGCAAAGAGTTAATAAACCATAGAAAATGAATCAATCTGGTGAGAAAAGTGAGAACAGATATTCAAATTAGAGACCTGTTCACATCGGGGTCAAATCCTTTCATATTAATTTCATAAGAAGGAAATTCCACTCAGTTTCTTCTCAAGAACTACATCTTTGTGGAACAAACTCTTGAGAAGATGCTTTCCCAATCAATACAATCTTAGCCTCTTCAAGACTTGCATCAACCATTATCAATTGTACATATTCTCATAAGCTGTCCTTATTCCTTTTATGTTTATACAACAATCTCATTTAGTAATGTTGTATATTGTGTGACTCTTGGGCCTTGTATTGTGTGAAAATTTAGTAAAAAAAAAAAAAATTCACTACAAAGCAATTGGAAAAAGTCAAAAGATCAATGTGGCATGAAATGTTTCTTTGAATATGTTGTTGAAAATGTGGACTGTTCAAAAATAAGCTTTCATTTGAATTTTGTTGTTTTTACATGTGCCCCCCCACCCCACCTTACATCAGAACAAAACAACCCAGCCCGTACCACTAACTCATAAAGGATTTATTATCACTTCTCAACCTTTTGGCTGGGATCAAAGCATGATATTTGTTCTCTTCTCATTTGAGAGAGGTACCTGATTCTGAGGATTCCAACGCTGCAGCAATTCCTCATTTCACTAAGAGAGGTCGGTCAATATAATATATTATGCGGCTATATGTTCAATTTTCTAATCTCAAAACTAAATTTGTTATAACTGATCCATACACCAACGTATTTAAAGAAAATGAAAATGCGTTTGATATATCCTATTCAAAAATGGGTTAAAATTATGATCTTATTTTAAAGATTCTTAAGAAAAGAACAGGTCTATACTGGGTGTGGTTTTTTTGGGATCGGAGTATTCAAATGATGCAAATTTTTCATTTTTCAATACATTTTAAATGTCTCCTTTTCATCAGATCTCATCTGGAGTTGAAGATCTTCTGCCGACTGCAAATGCAACGCCAGGTACATTCAGGGCCATGTCCTTACCTCGATGACCTAGGTATTGATTCTGCAGCCACATCAACTTCAGGCAGTCCCAGTGTTGACAGGTCTCCTTCTTCTGTGTCCAACAGTAGTCATAGGCAAACGCATGCGGATTATCCTAATCTGAATGATATAGGTAAGACCCATTTTTCCCCCCTTTTTGTTTTTTTTGTTTTTTGTTTTTTTTTTCAATCAATAACTGGTCATTTATTTATATAAACTAGGGTGGTGTTTTGCATGCTATGTCTCTTCAGGACATGAGTTGTCATGGTTAACCACAACCTCCAGTGGTTTGTTACTCTAAGTAATTACCAAGTGGACAGGGAAATTATCTTATCCTTACTCCTATGGCATACTTTTGGAAGTGTCATCTCATGAAAATTAACTTCCCCAGACATCATAACTCGGGACTCAGGGTTGGACAATGGGGATCTGGAGACAGCAATACAGGACTGAATAGTGTGGAAAGGGATTGTCAATGGAGTTCGACCAACCATAGAGAGGTCGAAGGATGATGATTATGAAGAAATCTTTGACTCTTTAACATCTCATTGTCCATTCTCACAAACTTCTTAGGTTACTCACTGTTTTCCCCCTGCTTCTCTGACCTTCATTATGTGTATTAAATTCTCTAGACCCTCTTTCTTCATCATGTGTTTCATAAATTTCAGCGGTCTCTTTTTGATTGATATGTCTTTTTAGTTCCAATTTTTCTTAAGACTTCTTCATTGTCTTAGGTTCAGTTCTATATTTATAAAATCTTTCCTTCCTAACTTTTTATTTGAAGTAGTGTGGAATGCCAACATCTTGAATATGTCATTATTTTCTCTTTGAGTTACATGCAAGATCCATTTTAGATGTTGCTGTTAAGTCCTCAAGTCATGTGGTTTCTGTTATTTGGTGTAGTTCTTTGTGATTCTGTGGCACCAGTCCCCAATCTTCAAAGAAGGATGTTCTTTATCAAGACACTTGGGCTTTACTGATACAAAGACTTTTTTTCACCATTGATCTTAGGAAGCATTTGTATACAGCTAGCAGTTTAAATATTTCTGAATGGTTTTGGTGCCATGTACGACATCAGTATGAAAGTCTCACTTTTACAAGATTATTTAAGAACATGACTCAAGTTTTCAGGTTCATGTTTTGCTTTGTCACAGTTATTCCTAATGCAGATTATTCTCTGTTCAATTTCCTTATCTCCTAATAATTAAAGAAAATAATATTAAAATAAACACTCCTGAAACATCTTAATAAGATTTTAATTTTTATACTTTAAACCAAAATAATATATAATCATAAATTATGTTTTCAATTATAAATATTCACTATTTTCAGCTTTATTTTTCTTAACAAAATTTTCATCTATTCATTTTATGTTTTATATTTAATCAGTTTTACATTTTATCTTAACATATTATCTATATGCAAATCTCATTGATTTGTCCATGAATATATCTTTAAATTTATGTTAACTGTTGAAATATTTAAAATTTGTTGCAACATTTCATGAAACAGAATTTCCAAAGCAATGAATTTTACCTTCAATTTTTCATTTCTGCTTTAAAATGCTCAGATAAAGTGGCAAAAAGTCAAGTTACATGAAAACATTTTTCTTCATCCAACTGGTTTCGACATAGTTTTATAGAAAAATATAAATACTATATATATATATATATATATATATATATAAATCAATGAAAACTATATATATATATATATATAAAACTGTAGAATTTATACAACTAATTGGTTTGTCATTTAGCTGATTGATGTTACCTTCACCATCCCTACTCTAGGGTTTTGTAGATGAACCCTCCAGGAATCACTCTGTCCACAGGAGATATCAGCAATTGACTGCTTATGCATGTTGATTTTTCTTTTCCATATGCACTTTTCATTGATGCAAGTTTGTTTTTCGTAGTGTTTGTGCATTCACACACCCATCTGCACCTATTTGTGTATGTGTAGAATGATAAGGTTATTTGTCTTTTATATTGTTTTTTCACTTTACACTCACTCCTTAACCTTTTCCTTCTTTTTTCTTTTTTTTCCATTATAGCCATTTTGGCTTTCAGTTTTCTAGACATATTGTCATCATCAGTCGTTTTCTTGACTTAGGAATATTGTATTAAACAAATTTTGTTAAATTCAACTGACAAGGTCTGTCTGTTTAACTTTTTATTTATTTAATTTTTTTTTTCAGTTTTCATTGCACATTTAAATCAAAATTGTGGATAAACTGTCCAAAGATCATATTTTGTTCTTGGGGAAACGCTTCTGTTAGATTTTGTGTACAAAAGATTTTGTTGGCTACATCCTGGTATTTTTTGGATGTTTGATTTGAAATTAATCTAAGTGATGTCATGTGTAAAGCAGTCTCACAATGCTTAACTGCATTGAAAAAAATGTATGAAACATATGTATTGTTATTATTTTATTTGCATATAAAACATTTTTGGCACATTTAAAAATACTATCTCCAGTGGTATGAGATATATATATATATTCAGTTGTATGAATATGAGTTTGTGATCCTGGGTTTCACACTTTTGCGATCATCAGATAAATTGCAAAAGTGTGAAACCCAGGGTCACAAACTCTTATCCATACAAGTGAATATATTAGCTCTTTCCAATAAGTACCATGCATATATATATATATATATATATATATATATATATATATATATATATATATATATTATTCCAGATGTATACTGTTTTATGCACACTTAAAAATACTATCTCCAGTCTGACAATTATTTTAATATATTTTCTGTTCATATATTATTTTTATAGATACAATTATTTGAGTAAATTATTATAAATAAAGCATTTACTTAAATAATTGTATCTATAAAAATAATGTATAAACAGTAAATATATAAAAATATTCGTTGGACTTAGTCCATTTCATTATATATATATATATATATATATATATATATATATATATATATATATATATATATACTACTAGAGATAATATTTTTAAAAGTGCATAAAACAGTATTAATTATAGTGAATGGACTGAATGTTCAAGAAATTTTGTAGAAAATATGTGTCCTCCAACAGAAATCAATCCTGTATCCTACATGGAACTGTCATTTGGCCTGATGTGCTATACTATTTAGCTACAGAGGAAGGCTGGTAAATGTAATTAATACTGTTTATTATAAACAGAACATTTACTTAAATATTAAATTAGAAAATGTGTTAAGTTTTCTTGAGTATGCAGGTCAGTTCATATAATACGTACTGTTTAAAAAAAATAGGGCATCTACTCAAACATGGATATCCACTAAAAATAACATTTGACTTAATAAAAATGTCAGATTAACAATAAAAACAAAATATTTTGACATAAAACTAAAAGATAACAAAGAATTAAGAACTTATTTTATTTTTTTTTTCCTTTGCAGAAAATCAGTTGGATAATCCAAAACCTATGGGACCTGCAAGCCCGCTGCAGGCAAATGTTGGTTATGGATTAGATTTGCCCATCATGTCTGCAGGCAAGATGAAGCTACCTGTGCCTCTGTCTATTGATCGGTCCAAACCCTCTCCTGTGGCAATGAAATCAAGGATAGAACCAACTGAGAAGACTTCTCAGAAGACATCAGAACTTCCGCCAAAGCCGACCTATAAGTGTGCCAAAGTAAAAGAACCGAAAATGTTGCCCAACTATAACCTGACATCTGTGTCTGGAATCCGTCTCTTGCGTCACTCAGGTGACTCAAAGAAGGGCCTAAGACGGGATAATTTAGAGTCTAGTTCTGGATCGGAACTCGATGCTGTCTCCCATGGCCGACGTCTACCTGGTAAACGCAACCTGCGCAAGACAAAATCTCGTGGGAAGGGGAAGGGCGGCACTGCCAGTTTGGTCCCTGCAGGAATTTTTGAACAGCTAAATCTTGAGATGTCTGCCACTGATGATGAGATTTCTAATACAAATGGGCAATCAAAAACAGTAGACAACAGTATTCAGGAACTGGAAGATGTCACAGTAGCTCTGATGAGATCAAGTCCCCCAACGGTGCTGCCAGGCCAACCAAAAGAACCCACAATTCTAGAGGATGATCCCTGAATTCATGTGAATATCTATGAACAAGGCCAATGTTGTAACAATGGCATAGCTGCACTTGTTTGATGTATAATTGAAAAAAAAATCTCTAGTTCTCGTGAACGACTAAATCTTCTACTCATACTGAAAGATGTTTGAGATATATATATATATATATATATATATATATTGAACATCACATCTACAAACAGTGCTTGAATCAGCTCTGTACCACAGGTATGACATAAAAGAATTATATCACCTGTGGGAAAATCTGGTATAATTTGAAATTTAAAAAAAAAATGAAAAAAAAAAAAGAGACAAAAAGAAAAACAAAATAAATATATTTTAACTTTTGAAAACAAAAAAAAAAAATTCTGTTGTCTACAAATATTTATCATTGGGAGCTGTTTTGTTAGATTTTGTGTTTATTTAAAGCAGGAAATATACAAAGAAACATACACTCATTGCAAAAACATAAGTGAGTGAAAAGAATATTTTTTTTAATAATCTACATTGAAATTCATGAAGCTGTTGAAAATGTTAGCGTCCTATTTTTTGATAGTTTATAATGAGTCATAAATATGTTATAAGCTTTAGTGTCCCATATTTTTATAATTTACGTGAAAATTAACAAAAAATACTGAGAAAGTTAGTGTCCCATATTTTATCATTGATATTGAAATTCATGAAGATGCTGAAAATGTTAGTGTCCCATATTTTTATAATCTATTTGGAAATTCACAAAATGTTGTGAAAGTTAGTGTCCCATATTTTTTTGCTTTTCATGAAGATGTTGAAAATGTTAGTGTCCCATATTTTTATAATCTATTTGGAAATTCACAAAATGTGAAAGTTAGTGTCCCATATTTTTTTGCTTTTCATGAAGATGTTGAAAATGTTAGTGTCCCATATTTTTGTAATCGACATTGAAATTAACAGAAATATTGAAAATTTTAGCGTCCCATTTTTGTTTATATTGAAATTCATACTAATGTTGAAAATATTAGTGTCCCATATTTTTATAATCTATATTAAAATTAAAAAAATGCTGAGGAAGTTAGTGTCCCATATTTTATCATTTATATTGAAATTCATGAAGATTTTGAATCTGTTAGTGTCTCATATCTTATAGTCTTCATTGAAATTAACAAAAATGTTAACGTCAGCATCCCATTTTTGTTTATATTGAAATTCATGAAGATTTTGAAAATGTTAGTGTCCCATATTTTATAGTCTTCATCGAAATTAACAAAAACATAAATGTTAGCGTCCCATTTTTGTTTATATTGAAAATCATAAAGATGTTGCAAATGTTAGTGTCCCATATTTTTATAATCTACATTGAAATTCACTAAATGTTAAATATGTTAGTGTTCCATACTCCTAATAATATACATTGAAAAATCACAAAGATATTGCAAATGCTAGTATCTCATTTTGTGTTGATCACTACATTGTTTTGATGTTTATACTGGTAATCTGCAACACTCTGTCTCCACGCAGTTGCCCCCATTTGATCCTCAAGGAACACAGATTAATTTTCATCAAAATGCTGTTATCTTCAGATAATTAATATCACCTTCTCAATTTGTTTGTGATCCTTTCCCCATCAAATGTTATCAAACATGTTATACTCAATGGAGTCTTGGAATTATAAACTTGCTTTGTGTTTTTGGATTACTTTGTTACCTCTCAGATACAATGGGTTAACATTTTTTTTTTTTTTAACAAGGCCTGATTAAACCTGCTGATGTTTTTCTATTTGAAAGGTCCAATAAGAAAAAAAAAATTATATCCCCAGCTCTGTCATGTGACCAATTCATCTTGAATTTGCATCCATCTCTCACAACCAAATATTTACATCCACCTCTCACAACTAAATATCTACTGCGTATCAAACTGCTTGGCTTACAGGCTAAGAAATCCTTTCCTCCCATCTATAATTTTTTAACATAGAATTTTAAGTTTGTGGTTTTAAACTTTGAAAAGATTAAATTAGTCTTGAGCATATCTTTAGAACAAGAAACTTATGAAAATATTTTTCTATTACTTGTTAATTTAAGATATGTTAAAATCCATTACCAGAAACTATTCCATCTCACAAGTTTTTAAATAAAGAATGCACTGCTTGTGGTGATAAATGATTGATACGGAATATCCAATGTTTGTAAGATTGAATACTTGAAAACCAGTTGGATGTTTAAATTCTTTTATTGTCCTGTTGATCTTTTGTTCCCAATGAGATTTCTCACGACAACTGAAAAAAAATAATAGCACAGTTACAATCTGGTAATGATGTTGCCTTAGTTTTTTTTTTTTTCACTTGTTTTGAGAAAACTCATTTAACAAGAAAATAAAAACTTTAGACATGCAACTGGTTTTCATGTATTCTAATTTATATACTTATTGAGGTATAGAATTTCTCCATATTCTAGTCACCTCTCTGGGGTGTCATTATTGTTTTTATTTTTTCATTTATTTATTTGCATTTTATTAAATGTAATATCTGCAGCCAAACAGTCTAAAGCACATCAGATAAGACAGTGGTTTCACTGACAATGGTTCAAAGCCCTGCTGGAGAGCACATATTCTTTGTTAAAGTCCCTCAATTACACAGGCTGCTAGATATAATTCACACTTAAAAATAAACAAGAACATGACGTCTATTTAAACATGGGTATCCACAAAACAACATTTGAAGTAATAAGGAAAAAAAATAGATATATACAGGGTGTCCACAAAGTTCGTGTGCACTTTAAAAAATTTATAACTTTATTTGTATTTGCAATAGAAATAATTTGTAAAAAGGATTAGAAAGAAGTAAATCTATATTTTTTAAGGTTTTATTGAAATTTTATTTAAGTTTCCACATCTCCTCCATCATTAGCAATACAAAGGTTAATACGATTTTGCAGTTCATGGAAAACATTTGCCAACTGATTTACAGTAATGCCTGAAATCACATTAGTTATTTTAGCTATACTTAAAACTAGGTACCTGAAACTTTGTAACATTTTTTTTACGGATTATTTCTTTCATAAATACAAATAAAGTTATAATTTTTTAAAGTGCACACAGGCTGTATGGACACCCTGTGTGTGTGTATGTATGTATATATATATATATATATATATATATATAATGTAGATAGTTTTTCTTTTTGTATAAATGGTAACAAGTAATTACTTCACAGTACCATTTTGCCTTCAGTATTGAAGATACTGGCTTTCACTTTCTGTTAATTTTAAGTCCATTCTTGTAAAATAGGTTCAGAATCTGATGTTAAGGTCCTCTACAGTTAATTGAGGATATGGATTTATATTTTGTGTTTAAAAATTCATATAAATTTGCCTGGCGTTCCTCAGATGGTCAGAAAATCATTCCAATTGAAAAAGGGATTGCTCTCTATGTATTTGAGAAATATTACACTGATTTATTAAAAAAATCATTTATAGCCCAGTATCAATTAGTATTATTAATAAATTGCTTATGAAATGCATTGGATTATGGGTAGAATTTATAAAACAAATGCCTTAGAGATTTTCACTTATATTACCTATACAGTGTCATGGCAAATACTAAAAGCTTGTTTGAAATTATTTGGAAATTATTTTACTCTATTAATTAATTGGAAATTACTATAATATGAATGTAGATCAAAAGTTATCTGACTTCTGCCATGATATTTCTGTGTTATGAGTGTGGATAATTTTTGACTTTTCCTTGTAATTCAATAGAAATTATTTTTCCTGTAGCAATTTGATGGGAATTATTTTTTGCTATGGAAATTTACTATACTCTTTAACTTTATAAATTTACTTGAAATTATTTTTTACTGGCAATTATTTTTTCTTATTTATATAACCAGTGATATGTGCAGGATCTATAAAATATATCAAAACTTGTAATTACTTTCAGGATTTGTCTATATTTCTGAGATGAGGTATTTTGTACACTATTTACATTATTCAGACTATTGTCCTTATCTTTGTTGTCATATTCATCACAACATTTCGGCTGTTGTACGCGCCTTCTTCAGGTGGTTGGAATGTCGAACTGAACCCTTTATTTCACTTACTGGAGTAGATTGTTCTAGTTTCAAGTGCCATGTTTAATGGATGTCGGTTATCAGTTATCTCCTGTTAATTCCACTCTGCAAGTTCACCACTTGTTAAGGCAGTGGAGAACTCGAAGAGGGGAATTAACAAGAGATAACTGACATCCATTAGACATGGCGCGTGGAACTAGAACAGTCTACCCCAGTGAACGAAATAAAGGGTTCAGTTCGACATTCCAACTACCTGAAGAAGGCTGGAGCGTACAATGGCCGAAACATTGTAACAAATATGGTGACAACGATGAGGACAATAGTCCAAATAATGTAAATAGTGTACTTTCAGGATTGCATCACAAGAGGCAATAGATACTAAAAAAATAAAAAACAAAGAAAATAGATGCAGATATTCCATATATAATGAACTTTCCCATTGTCTTTAATGTTCAGCAGCTCTTAGAACTGAACAGCCAAACTACCCACATTTATAATTTGATTATAGTGGTACAGGCTTACGCAAAACCAACCACTCCTTTTTAGAGGAACCAAATACAGAGAACTGGTCCAAGGTTTACAAATGACACTCCTCAGGATCTAGATTTGTCCTTAATGTAAACTGGTTGAAAACCAAGGCTACAGAATACAATCTACCCTACTATTTCACACATAACTAAGATGAGATGGATTCATACTTTTCCCCAGTGAATGTAACAAAATTGATTGGAATTTGAACTTTCTCTGATTTCTCACTCCGTCATACATACATACACACACACTGAAAAAAAAATTAAGATATAAATAAAATACATCTGTAAAAAGACAGTATAAGTAAAATCAAAAGAAAAACTTTACTTCCTCAGGGTGTTTCATCCACTGAGAAACTGTAAGGATTTTATTTAGCATAATGTATTTATGAACAAAAGTAAAAAAAAAAAAGAAAAAAAATGTTAAATTTTCAAAATTTTTA